CGCAGCACCTCCAGAGTCAGCACCCGAACTCGCAGCACCCCCAGAGTCAGGACCCTCGGTCTCAGCACTCTCAGTCCCAGCACCCTCAGTCTCAGCACCCTCAGTCACAGCACCCCCAGTCTCAGTACCCTCAGTCTGTGCTCCAGTGTCCACAGCAACAGGCTGCAGAGGCGGCGAAGACGGCAGAGGCGGGAACCCGGGGGGGGGTAGTCAGACGAGGAGAGCGGGCACCCCCAGACTCACCACCCCCAGGCCCAGCTCTAGAGGTCTCGGCTCCAGAGTCCACAGCAGCAGGCTGCGGAGGCGGCGAAGACGGCCGTGGCGGGAAACCCGAGGGGGGTCTCCAAGCGAGGAGTGCGGCGAGTGGTCGCCGTGTCGTCGGCGACGGCGTCACCCCCCTCAGCTGAGTCAGAGGAGTCAGAAGAGATCTCAACTGGCTCATCCAAGGGGGGTGGGTCTACCTGGGACACACCTGAGGGAGCAGGACCCTGTGGAGGAAGGGGGTCTACTGGGGGGGGGGGCTGGTACCAGGAAGAGAGGTGCGAGGGGGACCGGGTGGGACGCGTGCGGGTGAAGTCGGTAGTAACAGACCGACTCGTCGAAGGTGACGTCCTGAGAGGACAGAACACGATGCGAGGCAGGGTGGAGCGTCGGTCGGGAAGCCCATGAAGACACAACGGAGAGTGCGAGGAGAGAGCTTGCTCGCTTTGGTATCGCAAACAAGGGAGAGCGCGCCCCAGACCCGAAACGACGACGCATCACCAGGCTGTCCCGTCCAACTGAGTGTGGGTGAGGTCTCTGGAGCAGAGACACGGGGCCAGAGGTTGAGCTGATGCGCGGCGTATCGGACCGCAAATGGCCACAGGAAATAGGGAGCAGCCGCATGGATCATGGAGGTACGAGCAACCTCCATGATCAGGCCAATGCGATGCTCAGCGATCCCATTTTGCTGCGGAGAGGCCGGAAGCGTGAACGACTGGGCAATGCCCTCATCCTGGCAGAACGTCTCTAGGACGCTTGAGGAGAACTCACCACCCCTGTCAGAGTGCAGACGCAGGACTGGAAAGTCCCGCCGAAACCGCTCGCGCAGCTGGTGACGAGTAGCACGGATCCAGGGGACCAAGACACCACTGACATCCGCCTTGCGACGCAAGGGGAAGACGGTGGTGTAGCGTGTGTAGTCGTCAGCAACCAGCAGGAAGTAGCGCTCATGGTCTGTTCCACCGACGGGGGCCGGGCCCCACACGTCCAGGTGGAGAGTCTGCAGAGAAGCAGTGGTCGGAGGAAACTCGGAGGAGTGAGGAGCGGCGCGCTGCCGCCCCTCGACACAAGGAAGGCACGGGGTGGCGCAAGCGAGCGCGAGAGGGGGGGCAGGGTCGCAGGGAGGCCAGAGACTAGGAGCCGGGAGTGCATGCCGCGCAGACGCAGCTGCGACGGGTGGCCAAGACGGTGGTGCCAAAGCTGCGCAGGGTGGGTGAGGAGGCGACACGAGCAGGACGCATCGAGCTGACCGGACGCAGCCACCTGACCAGACACAGCTACCTGTGCAGACGCTGTGGTGAGTGTGTACAGGTTTGACCCCGGCTGTCGTGTGAACGTAGCCAGGTGACGGCCTGTCTTGGCGCATGTGCAGATCGCCACACGCTGACCTCCATGAGTAAAGGTGTCAACCCATACATCCTGAAGGACGGCGTTGCTCACCAGGTTCGTTGAGAACGAGGGGAGGTGGAGACCGGACAGAGAGCCAGAGGGGACAGCTGGGCACGGGAGGACAGTGGAGTGGCGTGCAACCACCGGGCCCCCAGAGGGGTCCGCCAGTGAGACTGGGACTGGTGTGGTGAGTGGGGTGACAGTGGTGCAGTCGCGAAAGAAGCAACGTGACGCACCACCTCAGCAGTACCAGCAGACTCACTAGCACCTGGGGCAGTAGCGACACTAGCACCTAGGGCGGCAGCAGACTCACTAGCACCTGGGGGAGCAGCATCACCACCAGCATCGCATGGCACACACGAGTAACACGCACCCTCAACACTATAATCAGCAACATACATAGCATAGAGAGCAGCATTGATCTTAGCAAAGTCAAGAGCAAACACATCTACCCCCTTCCCCATCAGCTGCAGCCAGTTCGGCACCTGCTGGTCCTCGGGGTACTCAGTCACCTAGGCGTCCTCAAGACGGCCGAAGCACTTGTACTTAGTGTGCGGCTTCCCGCAGACTGTGCCCTTCAGAAGCCCCGTGCGCCGGACATAAGGGCAGCGACCAGAGCCCCCAGAGCCCCCACGCTGGAGAACCCACTCACGGAGCTACTGGTCGGTGGGGTTGTCCGGGAGGCGCGGCACCTGCTGACCACTCCAGTAGCCACAGGAGGGTCCACGAGCGCCACCACCCCTGCCACACCCACCCCGACCTCCTCCGCTGCCCCCGCTACCCCAACCGCCTCCCCCACCACCTCCGCCTCCTCCACCCTATCCGCCTCCTCCACTGCCGCCACCCCCAGAGCCACCCCAAGAGCCTCCACCACCCCCGCCACCACCCCCGCCATCCCCTCCGCTGCTGCCACCACCACCACCCCTGCCCCTTCTGCCCTTGTTGTTGTTGTGCCTTCCACTGGGAGCAGATGCAGCGCCAACGTCCTCAGCACCAAGGAGGTCGACTGCAGCAGCGGTAGCAACTGAGGGGAGGAGAGGGGAGGGAGTACACCCTTCAAAGAAGGGGGAGCGGGGGGTGCCACGAGAGGCAGCGACAGCGACAGTGCTCTTCTCAACCTCAAGAAGGGCCTTCTCAAGTGAGTCGAGTGTGAGCTCAGTGGGGTCCATGGCTAGGAACTGGTCCCTGACAGTGCGAAGGGAGTCAGGGAGGCGAGTGATAAGAAAGTACAGGGTGAAGTACTGCGGGGGGGGGGTTCTTAGCGAGAAAGGCCGGCTTGAGAGCGGTACGGAAGCGATCCTCACTAGAGCGGAGGTAGGTAAAGAGGTCAGAGACAGTGCGGAACTCAGCTAGATCGGGATGCAGGTACGGCAGCATGAGACGGCCTACAGCAGCAGTAGCTGGGGAGGAGTAGCGAGAAACGACAGCGTCATAGAGATCCTTGGCCGTTTTCTGCCGGCTAAAGTGCGCGCGCTCAGTGACGGGCAGGTGGTTGTGGACAGCAAGGCGGGCAGCTGCATCACGCATGAGCCACTTAGACAAATCCTCTACAGCGTCGGCAGCAGGGGCTGGGAGCTTTCCCTCGGTGTGCAAAGACAGGGAAATACCATCCTTAGACTCGCTCTGCAGGAACAGCTGGAGATCGTCGAGCCAGACATCAAAGGTAATCGCGCGGCCCTCAGCATCGAACGTAAGAACTGACAGGTTAGCCATAGCAGCAGTAGCAGCTGTAGCAAGTGCAGTAGTAGCAGCAACAGCAGTAGCACTAGCTGTAGCAGCAGTAGTTGCAGTAATACTAGCAGTGACAGCTCGGGCTGGGCGGCGCGGCTCGGACAGGGCAGCGCGGCTCGGGCGCAGTGGTAGAGCAGCAGCGGCACGTAGTAGCAGCAACCGGCGCACAGCAGCAGTAGGCGCGTGCGGGCTGTGGGCTAGCAAACCAGGGGCGCGCAACAGGTGCGCGCGGAGCAGCTCAAAAAGGGCGCGCAGCAGGTGCGCGCTAGGGGCTGGCGGGCAGCGTGAGTGGTGCGCGCAGCAGCAGGAACGAGGGGGGACCGGGCGTAGGGGCTGACGGGCCGCTCGAGTGGCGCACGGGGTAGCTAGGGCGCGGTCAGGAGGGGTCGCACGTGACTAGGCAGAAGAATCGCGCCTAGGGCAGCTAGGGGACGGGACGCGCCTGGGGCAGAAAAACCGACCCGCCTAGGGCGCGTTTCGCGTTTCTCCTAGGGGCGCGACTCGGGCAGCAGATCGAAATTGTAATGGTGGGCCCGTTTAAAAATTCGGTCCTAAGGACCATTTCGCTCTTAATACCATGTTAGAACTAGGAGCTAGGTGAGAATGTCGATTAGGTGAGAAGGAGGGATACAAGACTTTCGAGAGAATTAGGTTGTATCCTCTAAGGGATGACCCCTACACAACCTAGAGTGAAATAAACAGAACTATATGTTTTGACATGATGTTATCGCCCAATCAACACAACCGAAATAGGTTTCGCACACCCTTACTTACAGCCTGTTTCAAATCCACACAGGCCTCTGGATAGGATTTGGGATACTCTTTCTCGTAAGGCCAACACCCAGCTTTCACTCTTTCTGTAAGGGTACTTCACAAAAACTGCTCTTAAAAATCAGGGTGCAAACCAATCAAAATAACAGTCTAGTCATTAAATTGTCTATGTTTCTTAGGATGATGGTGCTGCAGAGTGTTGAGTTGTCTCAGTTATATAGAGAACTCACGTTCGTTACTCAGCGCGAGCATCCGACGCGGGAAACATGTTTTACGCAACCAAACCTAGTATCCTCTCTTTGATCAAACTCGATTTCATAAGTGCTATTACACCACGTAGCTCTGAAATATCAGTGTCATGTAATCGATCACTTTTTCTTTGTAAGGGTCTAAAACAAAAACAGTCTTGTAAAAAAGGGTGCATAGTCAAACCCGGCCTTATCGTAAGTCTCATAAGGGTGAATCACACTGATATAGAGAGGCCATTATCCACATAATTTGAAACTTTACCATACTGACCTCGGGTTTTAAAGTGAAGGCATAATGAGAGTGCACACGGCAGGGAGTTTTGCAGGTTGCTGGTAATTAATTGCACATGGAATGCAGAGCAGCATGAGTTCGTTGTGATAGTTCACAGTTAGTAATGATTTGAGGTTCAAGAACTGCATGAAATAGCTGCTTATAACTACAGCATGGACCCGAAAAGAAAGAATTCACGGCACTATGTTGGAAGTCTAAACAAGCAGAAGCTACAATGGTGCCATGATTTATTCTCCTACACCAAACCCAGAGCTCCACACCAGATTGAGAGCTGCACACCACTAGTGTAGACCTGAAAACCCTAAAGCCTAAAAAAGCTCACTGTTGAACACCATCTTGTAGGACAGGTCCAGCATAGCCTGGAAAAAGGGTGGCTCTGGAATGTTCCAATCCTTGAAGTACGATTGTACCGAAACCGCCTTTATCCCGATATCTTTCTTCGGGCAGGAAACAAAATCGGGGTGTTCCGCCAACACCACCGACCCCTCCGAAACCCCGAAATCCTGATTTGCATAATCCGCGAATTTCATGTCATCGCCAGTGTACCTGAATACAACCTGGCGGTTCAAATAGTCCGCGCCAGGGTTTTTCTCGCAGTACCGATATTCCGCGTCCCTGAGAGAGTCCGGATCGACAACGATGTATTCTACGTCGTTTTCCGTCGCCATTCCGCTGCACGCGCCGGTGTCGTGCGCAGTGAGCGCGCCGGGCCCGGGCGGGTTGCAGCTGTACGCGCCGATGCGCGTCTGCCGACACACGTGCTTCATCCACGGCCATTCCTGGTAGAAGGAACAAGGGATGGGGGTTTGGCGAGGGGTGGAGAGGGTGGAAAGTGGTGAAGAGGGTTGCGAAGGGGTGGAGAGGAGTGGAGAGGGGTGGAGAGGGGTGGAGGAGTGGAGAGGGGTGGAGGAGCGGAGAGTGTTGGAGAGGAGTGGAGAGGGGTGGAGAGGGGTGGAGAGGGGTGGAGAGGGGTGGAGAGGGGTGGAGAGGGTTGGAGAGGGGTGAGAGGGGTGGAGAGGGGTGGAGAGGGGTGGAGAGAGGTGGAGAGAGGTGGAGTGGAGAGGGGTGGAGAGGAGTGGAGAGGGGTGGAGAGGGGTACAGAGGAGTGGAGAGGGGAGGGTTGGAAAGGGGTGGAGAGTGGTGGAGAGGAGTTGAGAGGAGCTCTAAACCCAGGGCACTGCCCCAACCCCACCATGAGGAACCATTGTCAGAGTGATTAACCCTCACCTTGTTGATCTCAGGCGTGTCATAATACAGCTTCCGCATAGCCTCCCAATAGGAGCCGGGGTCCTTTCGACAGTGGTTGATCGTGACAGTGAAGCACGTGATGTAGCCGGGGCTCTGGCCCAGCCCCACCATGAGCAGGCTGCGGATGTGGTTCCTCTTGCCGTTGTTGAGCTTCACGCCGTCCCACAGCTGCAGGCACACGCCCCCCTGAATGGCCACGCCTGACGTGCAGTAGTCCAAGTAGTAGCAGTGGTCCCCGCCGAACACATAGTTGCAGCTCACCGTGTTGCCTGGATGGGGTGGGGTGGAGTGCGGTGGAATGGGGTGGGGTGGAGCGGGGTGTGGTGGGACAGGATGGGGTGGGATGCAGGTTAGGAGAGAAGATGAGCAGGCAGGCACGGCAAAGGTTGTCAAGAGAGGCAGTAAGAGGGGGACTGAAGCTTCCCTGGTGCTAACTGCAGCTCACTAGTGTTGACCTGAGGGCCAGCAAGCGCTGAACCAACATCATGAAACAAGGGCTGGAACTCACCAGGGCTGAACCAGTGCGTGCAGAAGTAGATGCCAGCAGAGTCGCCTGTGAGGTTCTTCTTTTGCGGGGAGAACACAAAGTTGTGCTTCACTGTCGTCAGCGCACAGTCCCACGCGAAATGCACGTCTGCTCTGCACCTGTGCACACGGGGATGGGAAAAGAGTGTGTAGGGGCATTTGGGCAATCGGAGCAGCGTTGGTGAGGGGAATGGTAAACGACATGGTCGCAGCAACTGGGAATGCTAAGCACACTCACACACCCTGACCCAATCACAAGCTAGACAGGTACAAGCTCGCGAAGGTCCCCTGATACTTATAGACAAGCTCTTACTCGTCACACACCGCACTGCACCACTCTGTATACTCTAATCATCGCACCTGAAGCCTGAGAAGAGGTAGTCGTGGAGGAAGTTGTTGCGAACCACAGCTCTGATTGTGCCCCTTACATCGCATTGCACCGCTCCGTTAGCACTAATCACCGCACCTGAAGCCTGAGAAGAGGTAGTCGTGGAGGAAGTTGTTGCGAACGGTGGCGCCGATGGTGCCGCGATAGAGGTAGATGAGCTCCCACGCGCCAAAGAGGTCGTTATTGGAGATGATATTCTCTGAGGAGGTGAGGTTGACGCCGATGCCGCTCATGCCCATGCGGATGACCCCCGGGTGGTACTGGAAGTCCCAGGGCGCCGTGGCAAAGAGCGAGTCCAGCTTCGTGTATGCGCAGCGGAACACGTCTATCCGCCCCACCACTGACGCCTGCGTGAACTGAATGCCGTACGACCTGCAGGGAAGGGCAGGTGTAGCAGCAGCAGCAGCAGGCAGAGGAGACGGGCCTAGTGAGAAATGAAAGAGTCTAGCACCTGCTATGAGCCCCACCACTGACGCCTGCGTGAACTGAATGCCATACGACCTGCAGGCAAGGGAAGAACAAGGGAACGGTAAGGCAGCAGCAGCAGCAGCAGCAGAGGAGGAGACAGAACAGGTTATTTGGCAGGCACACCAGGCTTTTTTAGATGGCTTCAACAAGCCAGCAGCAGAAATGCAACCATTACGTCCTGAATTCAACAAACCCCAAAACGAACCCAAAAACGCACCGGTAGATGAGCAGAGCCGGGCACAGGAGGTCGTTCCCCAACAGATTCCCATACTCGGGCAGCGACTCGCAATAAGCTGACCCGTTTCTGACAGGACTCCTCAGACCGATCCCGATAAACACCATGTTGCTCGCGTTGTGCACCTGCAGCACAGTACCGCACAGCACAGAGGGTCCGCGTGAGTCGTGAATGTCAGTGGTGATTGTGAGTGTGAGAGATGATTGTGAGTGTGAGAGATGATAGTGAGTGGGTGGTGATCTATCTGGCAAGATGCCTCAAGGCTCAAGGCGAGGGATAGGCAAATCGGAACGGGCTCCTCAAACCGATCCCGATTAACACCTGATGCAGGCAGGGAATCCGTGTCCGTGGTGATCTCCAGGCTATTTTTTCCATTCCAAGGCAGCTCTACGTGAGCGTGAGGGCTTCCCTCAACGCACCTGAAGCACGGGCTCCGCGTCAGTTGTAATCTCCTGAACATGCTCACTGGGGGAGCGTATCCGGCTGGAAGATGGCGCAGGAGAAGTCGAGCTTTCTTTTCAGAAGACTCAATACGTTTCGAAGAACGCACCTGAAGAACGGGCTCCGTGTCGGTGGTGATTTCCAGGACATACTCGCTGGGGAGCGAGTCGGACAGAAAGATAGCACGAATGAGAAGCCAACACGAATGAGAAGCCAGCACGAATGAGAAGCCAAGTTTCCAAGCAACTCAATGTGTGAATGAGGGCCTTTTACAACGCACCTGCAGCACTGGCTCCGTGTCAGTGGTGATCTCCAAAACGTATTCGCTGGGGAGCGTGTCTGCCTGGAAGATGGTGCAGGAGAAGCTCGAATCGAGCACCAACGAGTGGTTGAGCGTGATCGACGCCTGCAGCACCAGGGTGACGGTCTGGTTCCACGGGTACTTCGTGCGCGATAGAATGTGGTCCAGAGTGGTGACGTTGATCACCGGTCCGGTGCTCCTGGGGCTGCACGGCGACTCCCCCGCCGGCCGATTCTCCTCCCACGGAGTCGGAGGAGACGTGTCGTTCTTGCTTTTCGTACCGGAGGAGGAAGAAGAACAGTTGCACGAGGGGGAATGGGAAGAGGAGGAAGAGGAAGAGGAGGCAGAGGAAGAGGAATTTGAAGAGGAGGAGGAGGGAGAGGAATCGGAGGAGGCAATGGAGGCAGAGAAGGCGGAGGGGGATGGTGAGGAGGAGCGGGCAGTGGAGGCTTTAAGGTTCTGCCAGGAGCGCGTGCCTCCCGGCATGAGATCCAATAGCTCCTCGTCTGTCGGGCTCGCCACTCCCGCCACTCCCGCCGCCCGTGTGTGCGCCCGTTTCGCCTTTCCCTGCGAGCGCGCCCATTGCCGCATGGCGCGCCTGGTGCGCTTCTCCGACTTCCGCTGCGCCACCCCCTGCAGGCGCGCGCCCTGCCTGCGCCACTCCTGCAGCCGCCCTTCGAACTGCGCCTCCGTCTCCTCCCACAGCGCGCGCGCCATCTCCGCGTGCGCCGCCCGCTTCGCCCGCTCCGCCTCATCCTCCGCCTCCTCGAGCTCTCGCGCGTGCGCCGCCTCCCAGCGCAGCACTTCGCTCCGCGCCCACTCGGGAATCTCCTCGCCTCCCCCTCCGCTGCCGAAACCGCCGCTGCTGCTGCCGCCACCGCTAATGCTGTCGCTGTTGCCGCTGATGCTGATGCTGCTGCTGCTGATCAATGCGCGCCCTCCCGCTGTCATCTCCCCTTCCTGCGCGCGCCACCGTCCGAGGTTCCGCACGGGAACCCCGTTAGAAGCATGCACGCCCGCACTGCTGTACACGATAGCAGCAGCCGCATTATGGGCTGTGAAGCCGACCGCCAGCAGCGCCACGAGCGCCAGCTGAATGGCCGAGAAGTCTTGGGAAGGACGGAACGATACGGCGACACTGGGGCTTGTGCGACGCACACTGAGCGTCGCACGCGATGCCTGCCGGGCACAAGACGACGGGACAGGGGTGGCAGAATTCGGGCGAAAATTATGGACCAATAAAGAGACGTATTTCCTGAGTGGTTGCATATACCGAACAATTGGAGGAATAAGGTTGCGGGCGAAAGGGAAGGAAATGGGGTGGTGCATGGTGCAGTTTGAAACTACTGCTTACAGCAGTCGTCATTCGAGTCATGAAAAGACCGGGTTTCTTAGAGGAGGCTTCTTCAGCGTCGACGAGGTCCAGTGTGCAGCCAACCGTCTTTCGATTCCCCCAAGCTGCGTGGCCCGAACCGTCTTTCGATTGCGGTTCGGCGTAAGTATTGGAACCAGAGTCAGCGTCAATCTTTCTGTTTACTTATATCGGAGTCGGTTTATGCGGGAGTAGCAAAAAGCCATGGAAACCGTGCCCTGCTACGCCGGCGCGCGCTCGGAAAACAGGTATGGGGTTCACTTGGACTCAGAGATTTGACGTAATATTTATTTGTCTAGGCTAATGCGAGTGCCTGGAAGATACAGCTATTAGTGACACTCGAGGACACGGAGACTGCTAGTCGGCAACTTTAGGGAATGAGGGAATGAGTTGTCCACAAAGAGAGTCGTGGGCTCCTCACTCCTCAGTAGTTGAAACTCTGCCAGCAGGAAGCGCAGCCTGCGCGCCTCCTTCCCAGCCTCCACAGCAGCAACGTACTCAGACTCAGTGGAGGAAAGGGTGGCGCAACGAATCCGCTGGCTCGCCCATGAGACAGCAGCACCCCCGAGCACGAAGACATAGCCACCTGTGCTGGTCCTGTTCTGCTTGTCCCCTGCATCATCAGCATCGGCGTAGCCCACCAGCTCCAAGGACTCCGGCCCACCACCAAACTCCAGCGCCACATCCCTGCTCCCCACCAAGTACGTCAAGCACCGGTCCAACTCCTTCCAGTGCTGATCACTCCGCACAGTCTGGCCCGACCCCAGCTTGCTGCAGGCGAACGAGATGTCGGGACGGGTGGTACATGCCGCGAACTGCAAGGATCCCACCTTCTGCCTGTACTCCTCCTCCTGGCGAGACTGCCATCCCACATCCTCGAAGGTCTGCACACTGAAAGGGTCAGAGGAAAGAGGGGTGCGAGGCACTCGCAGCGGCCCCGTCAAAGAAGCGCCTATGGACCTTGTCCACATAGGCCCCCTGGTGCAGCCACAGCCTCCTCGTGGGCCTGTCCCGAATCAGCTGCAACCCCAGATATTTCTCCACAGGGCTAATCTCCCGCAGCTGAAAGGCACTCTGCAGCAGGTCACGCAGCTCCGCTAGCATGCTCTGACTGCGGCTGGCAGCAAGCAGGTCATCCACATACACCAGCAGCCAGCACATCTCCCCCTCAGCATCAGTCTTGAAGTACAGAGCCTCATCCACCTTGCTCTTCTTCCATCCAGCCCCAAGCAGCACCCCATCCAAGGCCTCATACCATAGCATCGGGCTCTGCTTGAGCCCATACAGACTCTTCACCAACTTACAGACACGAGGAGTCCCATCCTCATAGTAGCTCGGCTGCTCCATGTAAAGGTCTCGGTCCAGCACGCCATGGAGGAACGCGTTCTTCACATCGAGCTGCATCAGGTCCAAATCAAGTGCAGCTGCAATCGCCAGAAGCACACGCGCCGTCACATAGCTTCCCACAGGGGCGTACGTCTCCTCATAGTCCACCCCTGCCACCTGCGTGAACCCCTTCACCACCAGCCTCGCCTTCTCACGCTCCACTATCCCATCAGGTCGGAACTTGGTGTTCAAAATCCAGCGGTTCTTCATCACATTCACCCCTGGCGGACGTGGAACCAACTCCCACGTCCCCTGCTCAATCAAGCTCCGCATCTCCTCATCCATCGCCTCCTTCACCTTGTCTCCCTTCCAGCAGCCCAAGGCCTCCTTCACTGTCATTTTCGCTATGTCCCACTGCCTCTCAGGATCAGCTACCACGTCCGGGTCCAGGTTAGTCCACTCCTCGTCCTCCTCCTCGTCATCCAAGCCCGCTGGCTCAACCACTACAGCCCAAGCGTATCGAACAGGCGGGACACCACGAGTGATGCGAGTGGAGCGACGCAGTGGTGCAGTGGTCATCCCAAAAACCAACACACGACCACCATCTCTAATTCCCCACATCTCCTGCTCCCCTGTCTGCTGCTCCCCAATCTGCTGCTCCCCTGTCTGCTGCTCCCCTGTCTCCTGCCCCCCACTCTGCTGTACTCCATCCATACTGCTCTCGTCCTGCAGCTGCTCAGTCTCAAGGCGCTGCCCGTCGGTGATCTCCACAGACGGTGGCACCTCCATCCCCCCCTCACCAACGGGCGGCGCCGTGGAAGACGAAGAAGAGGGCGGAGCAGGTGCAGGAGGGATGGAGGGTGGAAGGGGAGATGGAATAACAGGAGGAGGAGGGGAAGCCAAGGGGGGTGAGGAGGAAAAAGGCGGGGCAGGGGGAATCACACGAGGGTAGACTGAAGGCGGAGGTGGAGTGGGGACCGAGGTAGGGACATAGGGCATAGCAGGAGGTGCGACCACCTCCTCCTCCTCCTCCGCCTCCTCGAGAGTGGTCGGGAAGAGTGAGGGAAGGGGCTCATAGGGCATCGAACGCCCCCCATGCTCCTGCTGATGCCAAGCCTTCCATCCTGCTAGGGACATGGTCTCATAGAACACAGCTTCCACAGTGGTGATGAGGCGGTTGGACTCCAAGTCCAGCACGGCCCAGCCCTTGCTCGCAGCTGACACACCCAAGTGCAACCCCCAGCGAGCCTTAGGCGCCAGCTTCCCCCCACGCTGCGACTGTGGTACCATGTACTGCAGCATGCAGCCCCAAACACGCACCATACTGACATCAGGTTTGCGTCGGAAGGCGAGCTCGTACGGCGTCACACCAGAGGGTAGTGAGGCGTGCTTCACGCGGTTGCGCACCCAGACGGCCTGAGCCAACGCCAGGTGCCACCAGTGATGCTGCACACCCATGTTCAGCAACATCGTCCGCACCGCCTCCACAATGCTGCGCATCTCCCTCTCGGCCATCCCGTTCTGCTCCGGCGTGTACGGGCATGTGAGGTCATGGATGATGCCTTTACCGTCGAGGAAGAGCGTGAAGTCGTGCCCCAGGAACACGCCACCCCGATCAGTGCGCAGCGCCTGCACCGTGGTCTTGCACTGTCGCTCTGCCATCAGGAGCCACTTCTGGAACGCCGCCAGCGCATCACTCTTCCGGGCCAAAGGGTAGGCCCAGACATATCGCGTCTTGCGATCCTTCAGCACCAAGAAGTAGCGGCTGCCGTCCTTAGCTGCTTCACGGAAAGGGCCACACAGGTCAGCATGCACCACCCCGAGCAACTCATCCTCCTCCTCTCCCACAGAAGGAAAGGTATGACGAGTGATCTTTCCCCCAACACAGGAGACACAAGGTATGCCTGACTTGCCCCCCTTCTCCAAATCCAAGCCCTTCACTGACCCGTGAGCCGCTGTGCGCTCGATGGCATCAATACCAACGTGTGCCATACGCGCATGCCACAGGTCCCCCTTAGACCGTACGCCGGTCGCCAAGGTACGAAGTGCCACCGTTTCGCCTTCCTGCTGCTGCGTCGAACACGGCTGGAAGTTCGTGCAGAGAACACGCCCCTTGAACTCCGCACGACCAAGGAGCGATCCATCTGGTGCCCGCAGCAAAGTCACATCCCCGGCATCCAGCAGCTGCACACCACTATCACGCAGCTGCCCAGCAGAGAGAAGACTCGCCTGCACTCCTGGTACGTACAGCACGTCCGGCACCAAGACACGCCTGCCCCCCTCCCCAAGAAGAGCGACTGTGCCTCGCCCCTGCACCTCCTGAAGGGCGCCGTTGAAGCCGGTAACCTGCTTAATGCTGCCGCCGCTGCTCATCTCCACAAAGGCAGAACGATCTCCCATGAGATGGTGGGAGCATCCGCTATCAAGCAGCACGACGCTCGGGTTCGCCTTCACAGCAGCTGCAACAGCCTGTAAGCCCTCCCCGGCCTCAGGCTCTAGCACAACGAGAGGAGTCTGCTCCACAACTGGCTTCACCATCGCACATGATGACTGCCCGCTCCCCTTAGAGCCATCACCCCCCTTTCCGCTGCTACCTCCAGAACCCTCTCCACCGGTGTCTGCCTCCTTATCCGCCCGCTGCTGACAGTACTTAGCAACATGCCCTATTTGTCCACACACATAGCATTTCCCCTTGAAGCCCCCTTTCCCCCCCTTCGGCTGGCCATCCTTACCCCCTTTCCACTTCTCCCCTCCCCCACCAAGCCCACCCCCATTCTTAGGCTGCTGCTGCTGTGCCGTAGTGGGAGGGGAAGGGAATGAAGTCTGCTGGAATTGGGGCTTACCCTTCTTGGTAAAGACCTGGTTAGCCTGGGGAAGAAATTGGTCCTTTCGTCCCTCTGCCGCCAGCGTACACTCCTCCTCGATGATGTAGCTAGCGAGGGTGTCCTCGTCCAACTCCTTGCGAACCTGCGGCAACTTCAGCATCCTGCGTAAGAGGTTGTACTGCTGCGGCAACCCCTTCACAACGTGAGTGATGTACGACGCCTGCGAGTAATCTACGCCGGCCATCCTCAGGTTCACTAGGATCTGCTGCGCACGATTGCAATAGGACGTAGCGGACTCGTGCTCTCCCATCTCGAGGTTAGTGAGCGCCTGCTCTAACTGACCGATGTACAGATCGTCCTTCGCCATGTACGTGCGCATAATAAACTGCCATGCCTGATAGCCGGCATCGACCTTCATGCGACACGCCTTAAGGGCGATCTGTACGGTTGGGGAGCAGCATCGGGAAATGGTGGTGAATGTCAGCAACTGCATCGCGCGGAACTGAGAGAGATGCGCAAGCGCACGCGCTGGTGGAATGGGGGTGGTGCCATCTATGAATCGCTTTAGCTGAGCGATCTCAAGCTGCGGCTCGATTGATTCTGTCCACGTCGACAGGTCGTGACGTCCTTCTAACGGCCTAGTGACAACGATCTTGTCTGGAGTGAATCTGAAGTAGCCATAGTTGGGGGCTATTCCCTCGTCCCTCGACATCGATCCAATCGGGGTAACGCCCGGCATAGCCTCACTATCGAACTCTTCCGCAATTCCTCCTCCAGCAACGCTCCGCCGTCCTACATTCGCATGCTCTCGTGACGCTGCTGCACGATGAACACGCTCCTGTACACCGCCAACGCTAGCCGTACTAAACCGAGTTGGTCCTCGCAGGACCCCACGTGACATCAACCCATCAAACTCCTCGTCATCGCTATTTCCGCCATCGACAGCCATATCCCACGCACTAGTACCTCCCGCAACTTGCTCAACATTCTCTACACGTGGCGAAGGGTGCTCACGACGCCGACGCGAGCGCAATCCCTCCAACATTAGCTCGTATTCGATATCACTAATCTCACCACGAGAATGACGAGCCACGAGATCCTCCTCTAGGGCGCGCAAATTACCGGCCTCCACGTTCGCCTCCTCTGTACTCATCCTCTACGACGTCTCTATAAGGTACCACAAATTAAAATAAAGTGCCCCTTCCTTAAATCCCTCGTCTCGGGGTCACCTCACAAGGGTCCTCAGGCGAGTGGTAATAAATTACCAAACGCCCTATCCTTGGGTCCGAGAACGTAACTGGAGGGAAATCAAGAGAGGTTCAACTTAGATTAATAAGCGCCCTTCACTAACGCCGCACGCCAAGGCGAGTATACGAACGCGAATATCAACGACGACGGAAATCTATGCGTGTTCGTTCCACGCTCACCGCACCATGAAGGAATATATTAGAGAGCGTAGCGATAGCGAGAGAGTCTCTGCTATGGGAATGATGTTGCGCCAGCAACTTGGTAGAGTTTTGGTAGCGTTTGCCTCTAAGGACTTTGTGAGAATTGAAGTAGCATTTGGGCCAAGTAGAATTGCAATATCAATTATCAAATACACAAGCAAACACAAACATATATAGGCAAGCAAGAGTTGCACAATTGTTGCGTGGCGCTGCGAGTAACCCAACCCACACGAAAGTGCTGTGCAGGTGGGTGAACGCGCCCCGCACATTTCCAACCCAATTCGGCACCGGAATGTCTCACCGTGCACGCTACTCCTGCCAACACAGCAAGTGAGCAGCGTGCCTCACAAGCAAGGCACCTACGACCCCCAAGACTCGTCATTCCTAGCACCGATTCCGCCGAGTTCGCTGCAGTAGCTCACAGTCACCCGTAGTCACTAATGACCGCCACCGAACTCGTGCGTCGGTGCCGAGTAGACTCAGTCGTTAGGCGCCGACCTGCCATGTCAAAGGTCATCGAGGGCCCTTGCTGTCGTAGGGCCCTCTAACAGTTTTCACCGTCGCTACCTTTCCATCGCCAGCAGGCTCCACTCCCTCGTCGCCAGCCGTCGCAGGCGACGTCGCACAATCACCACTTCTGCCGCGTCTGGGATCATGGTTCGCAGCGCCCGACCTCACTCCGCCACCCTTCGTGGGCCCTACGGGCGGATCTGAGGCGGGGAGCGGAGCAGACGGGGAGGCGCGGGGGGACGCGCAAGGGCGAGGGGAAGCGCGGATGCACGGAGAGGGCACGCGAGGCTATGGGGATCAGCGGGTGTACGGGCGGGACCCGCGGGGTAATGGGCGGAACTTCCGCCCGCGCCCGCCTGTGGCGCGACCGAAGCTGGATCTTCTGGATAAGGTGCTGACCTGGCGGGAATGGTGGGAGATGATGGGGCAAGGGATGGGGGTGGGGGCTGGGGCGAGGGGAAGGGAGGGTTGGAGTGATGGCTCTTGTGGGCTTGGCTCTATGGCACCTGGCAAATGGAAACGGGATGGGCGGAGTTGGAATGTCTGGGGAGGCGGAAACGGGGCCTCCTCACATCTGTCCCTTAGGTCTTCCTCGTGCATCCCCTTAACCGCCTTCTCACCCCTCACCTCCTTCCCCCCCCCTCCCCCCCATGACCACCCCCGCCCCTTTCTCCCGCCGTCTCTCCCATTATCCCCCATTCTCACCCCTGTTCCCTCCAGTACGTGCACCCGTCGCTGCTGTCAGCAGAGGAGCAGCGGCAGGAGGAGCTTTGGGGAGCGAAGGCAGTGACTATACTTGCTCACGTCCCCCCCTTTCCCTCTCCCCCCCCTCCAGTACGTGCATCCGTCGCTGCTGTCAGCAGAGGAGCGGCAGCTGGTGGAGCCTAGGAAACATGGATTCTTCGTTTCGCACACCCCCCCGCCCTTCATTTCTCCTCTCTTTCCTCCTCCCCCCTCTTCCATCTTACCATCTACCCCAGTACGTGCACCCGTCATTGCTGTCCGTGGAGGAGCGGCGGCAGGAGGAGCTGCGGGGAGTGAAGGAGCGGTTCGGAGTGCACGAGGGGGATACAGGGTCCAGTGAAGTGCAGAGTGAGTGAGGGAGGGAGTGAGAGGGAGCCTACGAGTGAGTGAGAGAGGGAGTGAATGAGAGAGTGAAGGAGCGGTTCAGAGTGCACGAGGGGGACACAAGGTCCAGTGAGGTGCAGAGTGAGTGAGGGAGGGAGCGAGGGAGGGAGTGAGGGAGTGAGTGAGTGAGTGAGGAAGTGAGGGAGTGAATGAGGGAGGGAGCGAGGGAGGGAGTGAGGGAGTGAGTGAGTGAGGAAGTGAGGGAGTGAAGGAGCGGTTCAAAGTGCACGAAGGGGACACGGGGTCGAGAGAAGTGCAGAGTGAGTGAGGGAGGGAATGAGGGAGTGAATGGGGGAGTGAATGGGGGAGTGAATGGGGGAGTGAACAAGCGGTGTAAACAGAGTGCAAGAGTGGGATACTTCCTGCAAAGGGATAGAGGGAGGGTGCCTGACCCGAATGAGAGACTGTAGGTGCAAGTTAGCACAGGAAAGAGGGATTGGTTGGTGTCTGCGTGAGCTAGATTGCTGCTCCTGTTATATATCGACAGCCATGTTTCCTTCAGTTCTTTCAACAAGCTGTCCCATATTTCATCCGAGTTTCACCATCCCTCTATCTCCCCTCCCCTCTCCCGCACTCAACCCCCTCTGCCACCCTCTCTGTGCTTCTGTAACCAACAGTTGCTCTGCTCACCTCGCGCATTGCCTACATGGCCCAGCACCTGCAAACTCACAAGAAGGTGAGCGCATTCAGGACAACACGTGTCGATGAAATTAAGTGAGTCGATGAGAGTAAGACCTCTGCAGCTCAGCTTTCCACTCTGGATGTGACCGCATTGCCTACATGGCCCGGCACCTGCAAACGCACAAGAAGGTGAGTGCCTGTCAATGCTCGTTGCCCCTTGGGCTTGCGAGCAAGCATTATCATCGCATGAATGCACCTGTGATGCCGTCTTTGCCTTGCACAGTGAACACTCCTTGGAGAGTCGTGTGACGATCAAACACATTCTCTCTTTTCTGCAGGACCTGCAAACTCATCACATGGATTTGCACTCAACACGTCTTTTCTTTCTTTCATGCTCTGCATACCCAATAGTCGTTCCACAGTCAAACGCGTTGCCCCCTTTCTTCAGGATATGCACTCAGCACCTCTTTTCCTTCTTTCATGCTCTGCACTCCGGAGCTTGGGCCACAAGCAAACACTCAGCTTCTCTCTCCATGTCTACAGGACCTGCACTCAAGGCGGGGTCTGGATGGAATGCTGGCGCGGCGGCGCAAGCTGCTCAAGTATCTGCGGAGGAAGAACTGGGACTCGTACTGCCATGTGATTGCAGAGCTGGGGCTGCGCGACCGAGTGGACTTGCAATCGTAGCCGTTGATTGGGTGTATTCTGTTGCGGAACATATCAGATGATGCAAGCTGCTCAAGTATCTGCGGAGGAAGAACTGGGACTCGTACTGCCATGTGATTGTGGAGCTGGGGCTGCAGGACAGAGAGGATCTGCAGTCCTAGGTGTGATTGTATTGGTCAGGTTGATGAGGAAGCTGATGTAGTGTTAGAGGAGGAACAGGTGGGTGGGACTGCCATGCCATTGTGCAGCAGGGGCTGCGGGTGGGACAAAGTGGACCTCCATAGGCGTTGATTCTGTTAGAACTAGGAATGATGTTGATTAGGTCAAAGGGGAGGGTACAAACCAACGAGTCGACAGAAATATTGTACCCTCCAACAAGCACCTCACTACAGGCTAACTAACAAACTAAGGATATGAACATAACTTTGACACACCCCCATAGCTGAAGTGAGGGGTGTTACGAATAGTAAAAGATGAAGCATTACTGTGCAGTGTGCACTCCTTACCACAGCAATCGAAGCACGCACTACTTAGGCTGAAGACGAAAAGGCGGAAGTAACACAAAGGGTCGTACGATTACGAAGCATCTGAACCGTCAGGGCAAATAGCATCAGGCAGTAGCAGTGGCGAGGATTTTGGCCGGACAGTTTCGTAACCGTCTGGAGTCGCACGGTTGGATTTCGCTTTAATAATGTACCCCTAAGAGTACATGGCTAGCTAGGGCGTTTCGTACTGAGTGCGAACCTTCCCGAGGTGATCCTAGAGGCGATAAACTTCTTGATCAGAACAAGGGGCATTAAAACGACCAAGAGAAGTAAATGGTTACAAGACCAGTCAAGCAAAGAAGCAAAGAAAAGCTTAGCGTGGATCTCAAGATCACCACGTATTCCAAGCACAAGCAAGCGGCCACAAGGCCAGTTCACATACTGAGTTTATAATAGCAAGAGTAGTACAATGATTACAACCTATCAAGTGTAAGCACGCATGTATATTCATATACATCAGTGTACAACAAAGGCAATGCAAGATCAAGCGACAAGCACGTGAGGCAGAGTGGGCACAAGCCCAAGAGCAGTGCAGAAACGCTGATGATCACCAGGCCCAAGGGCCTTGGTGAATACATCAGCAGTGTTGGCCTTTGTGGCCATGTAAGCAAGACGAAGCTGACCACGTTCCTGCAGCTCTCGCGTGAGGAAGTAACGAAGAGCAATGTGCTTTGTTTTGTGCTCCAGTCTCTGGTCCTGACACAAGGCGATCATGACCTTGTTGTCGACGTACAGAACTGGAGGAGAACGAGGCCGCTCACCCAAGTCGGTCAGCAGGAAGATCAGCCAGCAGAGCTCATGAGCAGCTATAGCCCCAGCGTAGATCTCGGCCTCACAGCTGGAACTAAGTACAGAAGACGAGCGAGTGGACCTCCACGAGACAGAACCAGTGACGAGACTGAAACTATAACCCTGTGTTGACTGGTAAGTCGTCTGGTCGTCAGCCCAAGAATCGTTTGAGTGACTGGTGAGAACAACTGAACCTTGTCATCCAAGCACAAGCCCCATGCCTGATGTATTGCACAAGTAACACAGTAATCTCTTCGCAGCTTCCCAGTGCACCTTTCGGTGTCTACCGGGAGCTACGTAGCGAGCCAGAAGGCTGAGAGGGTACGCGAGGTCAGGTCGTGTGCACGTCATCAGGTACACGAGGCAACCCACAAGCTCTGGATACGGACCACTCGGCTCTACGTAATCGTCCGAAGGTGTAGCTGAAAGCGAGTGGCCTATAGGCAGAGGAGTGGGCTGTGGCGAGGAGAACTGGAAGCTGAAGCGCTGAAGGACCTGTTGCACCATGTGTGACTGAGTCAGGGTGATGGTGCGTTGCGATCTGTCCCGGGTGATCTGCAAGCCAAGATAGCTCCGCAGCTCACCCAGGTCAGTGCATGTGTGTCTCTCCTAGAGCTCCGCCTTCACTAGGGCCAGTGTCTCAGTGTCAGCAGTAGCAAAAACCAAGTCGTCGACGTATACAAGAACGTAGAACGGCGGCAGAGAGGTGTCTGTACGCAGAAACAGTGCAGGGTCAGCAATCGAGGGGGCAAAACCTAGAGCCGCAAGTGTAGTCCTCAGTGTGTCGTACCACTCACGGGGCGCCTGACGCAGACCATAGACTGGTCGCCGGAGACTCCACTAGGTACCCTCAGGAAACAACCCAGTGAAGCCAGATAGCCTCGTGAAGGCTGCCCAGCAAGAAAGCTGCAAAAAGTCGAGGAGTGCAACTCCTAGTCACACTGTGCTGCAACGTGCAGTAGCACCTAAAGAGTGGTCATCTTTGGGGTGGGAGAGAATTTCTGGAAGAAGTCGACCCCATGACGCTGACTGAAGCCTCGTGCAACGTACCGCGCCTTGAAGGCGGGCGGAGAACCCGGTGGCCGCTTCACCCTGAAAATCCACATGCCATCGACTATGTTCGCCCCAGGTGGGGGAACTGCGTCGACATAGGTGCCAGTGGACTTCTAGGAAGCCATCTCTGCGTCCATGGCAGGGCGGGGCAGGGCGCGAGCTGGCGGTGCAGCAATGCAGCAGGGGCAGGGCAGAGGCGTGAGCGGGCGGCGCAGGGCAATGCGCAGGCGGCTCAGGCATGGCGCACGTAGGCGGCGCGAGCAATGCAACGCACAGGGAAGCGGGCGGTGGGCCAGCAGCAGGCAGCAGCTGCGGCTTGGCAGGGCAGCGCTGGCGGCGGCCAGGCAGGGTAGGGTAGTGCGGAGGAGCGCGTACAGGCAAGGCAGCAGTGGCAGCGGCCGGCAGCAGCAGCGGCCGGCAGCAGCAGCGGCAGTGGCCGGTAGCAGCAATGACAGCGGCCAGTAGCAGCAGTGGCAGTGGCCGGCAGCAGTGGCGGCAGCAGGGCAGCGCTGGCGGCGGCCTGGCAGGGTAGGGCAGCGCTGAGCAGCGCGTGCAAGCAGGGCAGCAGTGGCAGCGGCCAGTAGCAGCAGCGGCAGTGGCCGGCAGCAGTGGCAGCAGCAGGGCAGCGCTGGCGGCGGCCAGGCAGGGTAAGGCAGCGCTGAGCAGTGCGTGCAAGTAGGGCAGCAGTGGCAGCGTCCAGTAGCAGCAGTGGTAGTGGCCGGCAGCAGTGGCGGCAGTAGGAGGCAGCAGCTGCGGCTCGGCAGGGCGCACACAGGGCAGTGGGCGGGCAGCTCGCGAGTCGCCGGCGGAGTGCAGGGCAGGCGCTCGCGGGCGGCGCAAGGCTGACACGTGGGGCAGGGCAGGTGCGCGCGGGCGGCGCGCGGGCTGTACGAGCTGCGCGCGGGCGGCGCGCTGGCTGTACGGGCTGCTCGCGGGCGGCGCACGGGCTGTACGGGCTGCCCGCGGCAGGGTAAGGTAGGGCAGCACAAAAGCGCTGGGCAGGGCAGGGCAGCAGGGCGATAGCGTGCTGGGCAGGGCAGAAACGTCAGGCAGGGCAGGGCAAAAACGAAAGCCGGGCAGGAAAGGAACTAATTTGGTGGGCTGGTCCTAGAACAGGACCTACTCTAAAACCATGTTAGAACTAGGAATGATGTTGATTAGGTAAAAGGGAGGGTACAAAAACAGTCGAGAGAAATATTGTACCCTCTAACAAGCACCTCACTACAGGCTAACTAACAAACTAAGAATATAAGCATAACTTTGACAGATTCACATAGGAATTGGAGCAGCTGGGGCTGCAAAGGTTCCAAGTGATGTCACGAAAGAAAATGCCACAAACAGTGCAAGATCCACTCTTCGATCAATGTTCGTTTTTAGAGCAGCCGTGACACAAAGCGAGTTCGTAATAGTGCAATCTGCGTGCATCTTATATGATGTGCATTGTTTCTATCGCAGTCCATGTTAGTCTAGCCATAATTATGGTTTGTGCTCTCCTCCGTGAACGCTTGACAGCAGGGCCCAAAATTGGTTTAGGCCAACCTTTACAAATCAGGGTTCCAGCCCCTCTTTATCCCGACCCCTAGGGTAAAAAATTTCGTACCCTGCTTGCAGCAGGGTAACTCAACCTCTAGCCTGATTTGAGCAGGGTAGTTCTAGGCTAAGCCTGTTTCGGCTACTAGATTTTGAGCTAAGTTATTTATACTGACTTGATAAAGTAGCACACACAAAGTCAATGGGCTCTGGCTCTGGGAGAGCATCACATGTGCATGGCGGGAAGTGCATGGCCAGCAGAGCAGGACTGGGACTGCAATTTGTTGCGTATGACAGCTTGAAGCTGTCCTTGACGCCCAACTCTGCTGTGATGGCGGTGCGCTTGGCGACGTGTGGCTGGATTCAAGGGTGCGTTGGCTGGGAGAAACAACCAATGAGGCGACATGGCGTGTCGTCGACAACGAATCAGGGTTTTATGCCAGTGGTCACAAGCGACAACGCTTGTTTGTGTGGGTGTGGTACAGTTTGTCACCACGCGGAGTATGGCCTGATCCGCGGTAAAGAAGTTTAGGTATCAGGGTAGTCTACACCCTACCCTGACACCGTCAGGCTAACCTTAAATCCTATCAGTGTAAAAAAAAACATGCTCGTTTTGCAAAAAGGTAACTATCGTGGAATCCTGATTTTGGCAGGGTAATCCTGAAAAAGCGACCGGCCCCCAGGGTAATCAGGGCGTTTTACCCTGATATTTTGGGCCCTGCTTGACAGCATATTAGTCATCGCAGCTTTTGTGTAATTTTGTATTATTCTTAACGAGTGATGTACGAACGAGTCACGACTACATGGAACCCCTGCCCCTCGACTGTTTGCACGCCCAGTTCACGCTTTGTGCACGTTCCTGTTTTTTTCTTATGTCATAGATGTGCACGCCCCGCCGAGTCGGCTTATTAGAAAGGATGACGCCGTCGTTGTCAATTCGATGGTACCAAACGGGGATGCATCGGTACGGCATCCGAAAGAGAGCGACGCCGCTGGAAAGACGCGGACAAAATGTAATCCAGCGCGTCATTCCGTCGCGAGATCCCCGTCAGTACAACATTGCGTCCCTGTCGCTCACTCTTTCAGCTGCCTCAAGCCTCGCTGCGTTCCTCTCGTACCCGCCTCTTGCGCCAAGTATCTCACGTCAATCCTTTCCGGTTAGCTATCCGTGCCGTCCGCGTTGTCCGCCCCATCCGCGCATCCGTCCGCCCCGGTCGCGCATCCGTCCGCTCAGTCCCCCGCGCGCATGCATCGGGTGCGCAACTCTCGCGCGTCTCCCCTTCTCCATCAATTCGCGCAGCGCCATGCCGCTCCCCGGCTCGGCGCGCTGCAGCTCCGCGCGGCGGCCGTTGTGGCGGCCGGCGGAGATCGGCCGGCAGCGACTCACGGACCGTCTGCTAGTCCGGTAGAGTATGCTCTCTGGTCGGAAAACAGCACGTGCCGGTCGCTCTCTGACATCCGCCACCAGTTCGTGATCGTATCGCATCACATCAAGATCCGAACCGGATGTGATTCGTCGTTATCCTCTCCCAGTGCACTATCCGCCAGAGCATGCACATGGAAGCTTCCTGCGTGGTTCCCACGACCCGAGCATGCCGGGTCGGCAAGATTGGGGTCCTGCCGCAATGATATCCACGCAGGACGCTTCACTGGCGCACAGCCGAAGTTGCGCTGCCAGACTGTCAGCGTTGCCACCGCCACCAGGCCATCACCTGCCGAGCTGTACCGCTCTGTACCGCGCCCTACCCTGCGTACTCGACTTTCCGCGCCTTATTACCACCTCCAACCTGCCGGCCTGAGGCCTCCGGCTCTGGAGACTTATTCTCGCGGCTTTACCACTGCGTCCTCCGGTCGCGTGCCTATTCTTGACGCGCCTAGAAAATGCCATTCTCGAGGATTTAGCACCGCGTCCGCCGGTCGCGGCCGCTTGTCGGTGCCAAAACTGGAGATGCTGCTGCAGGAGACGCAGCGAGCGTTTGGTGAGGGGCACGAGCTGGTGGCGGGGCTCCGGGTGCAACTGTCACAGGCGTATCTGGAGCAGGGGTGGCATCCGGGGAGGGTGCTACCTGTGTTGGAGAAGGCGTTGGAGGTGAGACGTGGGGAAGATGGGAGGTGGAGGAGGTGCTATGCTATATATCTCCATGGCTTGACATTGATCCGACTTTGTTAGTCAGTCTCATTTTTTATGGCTTGGCCTTGAACTTCAAGCTTGTAGTTACCTGTAGATTGGTAATCTGCATGAACTGGAGCTGTTGCTAGTGAACCATGTGTTAATGTCTCATGACTGCTTGCAGTGTTTCACCTGACTCTTTTCTGTTTTCTTTTTCCTGTTGTTCTTGTTTCGTTGAACCCTTGGTGCCACTTCTGGGAGTTGTCAATGTTAAACCCTTGATATGACCCAACCCATCCAGCAGCTGCTGTGTACCGTTGTTGCTGTGGATTGGAATTTGGTGCGAGCCGTTATGCGTTTTTTTCTATTCTTCCTTTGAACCTAACACGAGCCCCGTTCTGCGGATGACCCATCACATCACATGCAATCAGGTGCTCAATGCGGCTGTCAACGAAGGGGATCCGTTGCGAGCCATGTGCCTGCACCTCATGTCTTCATGCCATGACAGGTGATGGTGTGATGGTGTGATACTCATAGTGTGATTGGGAGCATGGTGTGTTGACTGATTCCATGATTTGCATGTCATGGGATGACATGTCATTACCAGAAGCAACACCAATGGACCCCATTCCATATGATGGCTCACTGAACCGCAACCGCTGAATCAAAGGTGTCCATTCTACATGTTACCATTGCCTGTCCCCTTCCCTCACTGCTCCTTTCTCCTCATCCCAACCCTTATCAACTCCTCTTCCTCCTCCCCCCCCCCCCCCCTCCCGATGCTCCCACAGGCTCGGCGACCCCGAGGGGTGTCTCTCACTCCTCGCGCAGTGTGAGGCGGCGCTGGAAGCTGCCAAGAAGCTTCAGAGCCTCATGCAGGAGAAAGATAAAGCCGGAAGTGCAGAGGAATTGTCATTGTCGGGTTGGTGGCGAGTGTGGCAGGCAGAGGAGTTGAGGAAGAAAGAATTGGAGGGCAGAAGGGCAGCAAAGTGTGTTGATGGGGAGAAGGGAGGGGACGCAGCAGCAGCAGCAGGGATGGTGGCGCAAGAGATGGGAGAAACGATTTCCGTGGCGCAAGGAATGGCAGAAACGATTTCTGTGGTGGGGTTTGACATGCACATGCTGAGGGCTAAGGTCAGCAGTGACATGGGCGACGTGGATACTGCAATGCAGGCCTACAGGTTGGCGAGAGGTGGTTTTTCTTCTTGCTTTGAGCCTAGCTTTCCACCTGCAGCTCTCTGCGAATAATGCTTGAGGGTAACCTGCTGCACGTAGGGAAGAAGAGTGTGCCACTACCCGTCCTTGAGACCCCCCCACTTCGTCCTTGTGTTTTTCGAATCACACTCTAAATTGGGCGCAAACAACCCAATTTTAGCGGATGCCCTGCTGCACATAGGAGAGAGGATTGAGCGAGACTACTGTTGAGGCGCTTTAAAAAAACGACTGTGCAACACGTAGGGGAGAGGATCGTGCGAGACTGTTTTTGAGGCACTTCAATATAGACCCTGCAGCACGGGTAGGAGAGCAGGAGGTCTTTGAGATTATGTGCATTTACCCCCCCTGCTCTGTCCACGCGTTTTCTCTTTCAGGACCGCACTAGCACTGCAGGAGGAAGCGCTGAGTGAGAAGGATTACTTTTGAGAATTCTCAAACGTAGCAGACTCACTGCACGATGTAGCGATGGTGTGTCTGCAACACGACTAGGGAAGATGAGGTGTTTGTCAATTGTGCATCTACCCACCCACCCCCCCCAGCACTCCATTTTCAGGACGGCCCTGGCACTGCAGGAGGAGGAGACACTGAGTGACAAGTGAAGAAAGAAGTGTTTTGAGACGTCTCAAAACACTTCTTTCTTCACCTGGGTGACAAGGACTACCGGGTAGCAGACTCACTGCAAGACGTGGCAAAGGCGTGTCTGCATCACGGGCGGCTAGACGATGAGGTTTGTGAGAAGTGTGCCTTTAACTCCCCCAATCTGTCTGTCTGTCCTCGTGTTTTCTCTTTCAGGACTGCTTTAGCACTGAAGGAGGAGGCACTGAGTGACAAGGACTACCGCCGGGTAGCCGACTCATTTCATAGTGCGGCAAAGGCGTGTCTGCATCACGGGTGGCTAGACGAAGCCCACAGCATGGCGACGAGAGCGTTGCAGCTGCGTGAGACGTACCGGAGAGGTTTGGAGGAAAAGATGGGAGGGGTGTGGTGGGGCAAGGAATGGGGAAAGGGGAGTGGTGGGGGAGGGGAGAGTGGAGAGGGAGGAGGGGTGAGTGGGGAGGAGGTGGAAAGGAGGTGGAGGGAAGAGGTGTGGAGGGAGTATGAGGATACTTCTTTCGAGGCTGCTTTGGACCATCGGTGAGTTGGCTTATGAAACAGGTGGCGCATCCTGATTGGTTCAGGTTGTAGCTTGTGGTATGGTACCTAATTCGTGAGTCTACTCAGAAGACCTTATGTCGTGGTAAGTTGCATCGCATGATGAGTACCACCCACCCGGTCATGCATGATAAGATAGAATTTCTGGTCATGACTTTTGAGGCGCCTCAAAAGTCGCACCCTGATCAATGATAAAGATGGAACTTCTGGCCATGTTGATCTACGCATGACATGACCTATGATGGATTATACGCGTTCAGCGTATAAACGCGTATCGTATATACGCTAACGTGTATACACGATACGCTTAAGGGTAAGGTTGGGCATACGCTTTTCCGGGCAGGGGAAAAAGTTTTCTGGGCAGGGTGAAAAATACGTCGTGCTCAACATCCGGGAAGGTAGGTACTCTCTACCCTATTCTCACTAAGACTTCCCTAGCATTTTCCTGAGTCTGAATGGTGGGTGGGGTGGGATGTGGAGTAGATCGCTAGAAGGAGAAGTAGGTATCGGAAGGAACTCTGCTGGGAAGCGGGAATGTATACTAGAGATGAGGAGTACCGTTGGGCTGGCTGGCTGGTAAGGGCGCGTGTCTTTTGGTGTAGAAGTTCAAAAAGGTCGAACTTTTGCTGGTAACCAGCTTCGCCAATTTCGCTCAAAGCTATTGACGACAAACGTGTGTCCAAGCTCAAAGTTGCTGAAACAGAAGGACACTGAACTAGGGTCGACCTCGCATCCGACTATCCCCGAGCATGTTTCTCCAATCGTATGTTCTTCTGCCCACGCACGAAGAAGCTGCGAGATTCGCGATGGTTACGAACCACGTCGCGCCAGGTTACCAGAGTTGAAAGTGCTAACGAACTTCACTGTATAGACAGGGTAACCTACGAAACTTGGCGCGACTCGGATTTTACTGTACAAATTCGACCTTTGAAAGTCGAGCATTTCTTGTGCCATGTGCTCCACGTCAAGGTGAACACGCGACTCGACAATGAAATGACGAGATAGTCGACTACAGGTCGACCTGTGATCATTTGCAAAAATTCGACAAAAAAACATGAACTTTGGCCTAAAATTTAAAATACACGCGCCCTAAGTAGCGTGAGTGTGAGGTGGTTGGGGTATTTTTTGACAGGTTGGAGTTTGTGGATAGGATGGGTTTCAATGCGGTACAAATCAAAAGTTCAAATTGGAACTACCAGAAAACTTCAAAGGCACATTCCCGCTTCCCTAGGCCGCCGAATTGCATTTCGACTTCGGCGAAATGCTCACCAGGAGAATCCGCATCTTTCCGTATACTCACGATTTTTTTTCCCGGGCAGCCCCAAAAACATTCTGAGTGCGTATAGCGTATTAGCTAGCGTATAGCGTTTTGGGTTTATACGCAAGCGTATAAACGCTGTACGCTTTAGGGTCTGAGCGTATAGTCCAACATAGGACATGACCCCTCTGACCTTATCAACTTGACAGCATACTACCACCCATAACCAGGGGGGTCATGTCATGTGTAGATCAACATAATCAGCCCATGGAAATTGAACCTTTCGTCTTCCTATTTTACGACGTTTCTGTAGACGTCTCATCCCTCCATGTCGCCTCCTATCGCTCCCGCTTCCCAGTCTGCTAGCAGCAGTGCGTGCTGGGATAGCACCAGTGCCACCGCCAGTCACAGCAACAGTGTGCCCCTTCTCTCGTCTTCCCCTTTTCCCCCTCTCCTCCCAGCCTTCTAGCAACAGTGCTCTCTTCCCTGCTTTCCTCGCCTTTTCCCCCGCACTACTTCACCCCCCTTTACCTCGCCAATGCACATCTCACTACTGTGGACCTTATTCTCTCCTCTGGCCTTCTGAAAGAGGGGCCGAGGGGGGGAAGGGCGGAGTGGGGGGATGAGGAGGCAGAGAACGGGGAGGGAATCGACAGCAGCAGCAGCGAGCAGAGAGGGGAAGGAGTGAGGGGAGGAGTAGGGGGAGGAGATAAGGGAAGAGTCGGGGGAGGGGAGAGAACAGAGGAGGCGGCGGATATGGCAGTGGTAGCGCTGCAGGCACTGAAGGAAAGTGCAGCGATCCAGAAAAAGGAGTTGGGGAAGGAACACCCGGCTGTGGCGAGGACGTTTGCTCTCGCTGTTGAGGTGTACTGGCAGATAGGGCAGCCGGAGGAGGCAGAGGTGAGGTGGGGTGCGGTGAGGCACGGCGCGGTGAGGTCGCGGTGAGGTGAGGCAAAGTAGGAAGCAAGATGGCTTTTGTGGCGAGGACGTATGCCCTCTCTGTTGATGATGTGTAGGTGCGTGATAGAAGTAGTTTTGAGACGTCTCAAAACTCAAATATTATCACGTGGTGTAAACTTTATCGAGGGGGTTTATATTTCATGGAGGGTTATCTCAAAACTCATAATCGCTTCTCCGGCCTCCATCCCATTGCCCTCCATCACACATCAGAAAAAGAACAATAGAGCTCACATTTGAGGGTGCTAAATTCCCACAAGCGCACAAGCAACTCAAGTGCACAAGCGCACTGAGGAGGAGAAGCAACTCTCTCCCTCGTCTCTTCACCCCTCATTACCTGATCCCCCCCTTCCACCCCTTTATCAGAAGATGAGCAACAGGGCAATGAGAGTGCTTGAATCCCTACCAGAGGCCTACAAGCGCAGCGATGAGGAAGCAACAGCGCTCTCCCTCCTGGCCGACCACTTGCAGCACACCGGCCGCTCAGCCATGGCGCTGCCTCTGCTGGAGAGAGCGCTGAGCATCCAGAAGGAGGACCCCTTCAACTCTTTCAAGTCCGTTGGTGCGTTTTATTTAGGACTAGGGCTTGTAGATGGTGGACGGGGGAATTAACTGATAAGTTGACGACTCAAACGCACTGGTTGCAGTGGCATGGCTGTGGCTCCGTTGTTAGCAGAGAGCACTAAGCATCAGAAGGGAGGGTTAGCCAGATTAGGGGGTTCGCCAACGAAAACCGTTTGAGAATTTTCAGAAACATACTCTTAAGAATTCCTCGTTAATCTGCTCGTTGTCCTGCCTTCTCTCTGCCTTGGTGGACTCTAAACGTCAATTGCATTACCCCCCCTCCATTGCTTTCCAACTTCACCATTCCCAATCCCAGGCACAGCGGCAGATCTCGCCTCGCTCCTTCTCACCCACCGCGGTCCCCGCGAGGCCCTCCCCATCCTTCTCTATGCGTACTTCTCCCTGATATCCTTCCCCGGTTCCTCCCCCACCGACTTGCTCCGCGTCCTCTCCCTCCTCTCTGCTACTCTTGCATCTCTCGACCAATGGGATGATGCTGCGAGAGTGGTGGGGGAGATGTGGGAGTTGGTGACAAGGGAGGGGATGGAAGAGGCTTTGTCGACGCCTGAGAGGACTGATATGAAGACAATGCAAATGTGGTTACCGCTGACAGAGGCTTTGGGGAGTGAGAAGAGGTGAGAGGGAGTTTGGACAGGTGGAATGAGGATACACGAGATAGTGTGAGGAGCATTGGTAAGCAAATAGAGATGAATATTTTTTTCCGTCAAAGAGTATAAAGAGGGAAGGGTGAGGGGGCAATTATCTTGTGCATACCCCTGGTTCACGTATGAAGTGAAAGAGGCGACAAGAACTTATTGACGAGAGAGAGAATGGAGTGAGGGGAGGTACGAAAGGGTGGTGAGGAGAAAGGGTTCGACATGGTAAAGGCGAGCGTATGAAAATCATAAACATTTTATGATGTATACAGGAAGCACCAACCCCAGTCATGAACCTATTTTGTCACGCCCCCTTCGCAGGTTCCATTTGCTGCAGCAGGCATTGGAGCAAGCAGCGTAAGGAGCAGAACGAGGAGGAACAGGCAAGGCGGAAAGGGAGGCAGGCGAGGATGCAGCAGCTAGAGACCGCTGGCTTGGGGTGCTGGAGCTGATGGTGAAATATAACAGCTGATATAGCATTTCAGCAATACAGCACAAATGCGGAACCACAGTAGCCTGGAAGGGTATATCGTTGTGAGATGGCTATTGTACCAGGAATTTCAAGTACCGTAGTGGAATTTCAAGTAGTGCCTTGCTGCTGCTGCTGCTGCTGCTGCATCTGCTATCTGCGCTGAGACGGATAACAACCAAGGCGCACTTTGAGACATGACATGTGTGATGGCTGGAGTGCATGATGATGACATCATTTTATGTGAAAGCGTTATGTAAACATTGGGGTCATTTACGGTATTTGATCAAGACTGTCATTTTAACAGTGAAGTGTGTTGCCGCCGCTCAAGTTCCCTCTCCCGCTCCGCCTGCACCCGCTACTGCTCCCTCTCCCGCTGCGCTGCCTGCTCGCGCTGCTGCTCCTCCCGATGCCACTCTGCCTCTGCAGCCTTCATGGCCCGCATGGCCTGCTGCGCCTGCAGATGCATCAGGGTTGGGGGGGCCCGCCGCCTGATGGTCACCGGGGAGCGCCGGGCTGGGACCTGTGGAAGAGAAGAGAGGGGAACAAGATAAACGGGAGAAAGGGGAGAAACAGGAGGCACGGGAGACACAAGAGGGCCGAGATGTGTGCGTATGCCCCCATGCCCCGCACCACAGCATCCCCATACCGCACCCATGCACTCCTCAGCACCGCCCCGCACTGGCACATACCTTCCGCTCCACAAAGAAAGCCATGCAGCAAGTCAGAGAGAGAAGCCAAGCCGAAGAGGCGTGCACGACTGACCAGATACAGCTCAAGGCGGCAGGCGAGGACAATCCCGCACTTGGCACACACCACCTCCGCCTCTTCCTCCTCCTCCACCACATGCCGGCCCCCGTCGTACCGACACACGCCACGACCCACGCCAGTTCCCATCCCCCCCTCTTCCCTGTGCACCTGGGCCGCCATGGCCGGGAACCCCCCTGCCAGGCGCACCATTCAGATGAGCCGCCCTCCTCTCCTCCCTGCCCATGCCCTCCTCGTCACTCTCCTTGTCAGAGCCACCACCACTGTCACCATCGCTACTCCCCCACTGTCCCCATCATCATCCTCCTCCTCCTCCTCCTCTTCATCATCATCAACATCATCATCAACCTCATCACTCCTTCCCCCACTCGGCCCATCAGCAGCCGCAGCAGTGCCCTTGCGTTTCTGGATGGCAAGGCACAAGTTGATAAAACAGCCGGCACAACGACCTCTGCTCCTGATGCCTCCCTCTCCTTGGTAAGTTTTCATCTCTCCTCGCTCTCTTCCTGTCACGCCGCTTCTCCTGCTCAAGCTGGCGATACATTGCGGAGGTCGCAGAGCTGGATTTGGTGGTCCAATCAGGCACTCGCTGCAGGCCTTCGCTAGATTAGCTGTGGCCAGATTATGCTTGGGAAAAGTGTTTGGATGCTGGAAAAGCGATATGTGCGTGTTGAGTGAGGTTCAGGCAGATGAGCGAACCACTCGGAGTGGTTCGAAGTGGTGGACGCGCTTTAGCAGAGTGCACAACATCGTACTCAATCCACCTCCATGCCGCCGTGACCGTGCGTCCACCAGCTGATCGAATAGAGCAGAACCGCCTACTACGCCTTCGCCAGGAACTAATAAGAACTACCTGTCTCGACTCTTAAGGACGAAAAACCGAAGATCTTTGCTGCTCCAACGGATTAGGAAGCTGTATCTATGGCGACGCGGCGACGTGTGGAGACGAAATCTGAGAAGCGCGTCGGATTGTCGTGAGATGAGTGAAGTCGAAAAAAAAAAAAATACAAGCTGGTTTACTCTGGTGGGCAATTCTCAAAGGTTGTTCCCACTTCGCTGAAAGCTTGCCACGTCAACTGCATGCATGCATGCGGATTCTCCCATTAGTTCGCACGGAAGTGCACCTCTGCCATAGCTTGTGCTCGTCTCGTGCGTTACGCAACCGAGCGTACATCGCGAGGTGATGATTCCACCGTAGTGGATGCTTTCCTTCCACGTGCCACTCAATTTGGGGCTCGGGCTTTAATCTGAAAATGGTATCACCGTTATGAACGGGGCACGCACTTGAATCAGCTTGATCAGATACAAAGGCAAACGGAACGGTTTATTACGGTGTGATCTGGATTTGCTCGCCAGCCCATTTCCCCCCTCTCCCCATCTCGATGCGCCGCACATTCTCCCTGGCACCTTGAATCCACTTCTCGCCGTGCAGCAATTTTCCGTTGCCACCTGCAGCGCAAGGAGTCTTTCCCGTCAGTCCCTTCTGTGCATTCTCAGTCCGCGCAATTGTCCGCCTCGTCCGCGCTGTCGGCCCCATCCGCGCAGCCATCCTCCCCCAGTCCGCGGGCATGCATCGCGTGCGCAACGCCCGCGCGTCTCGGCTTCTCCATCTCTTCGCGCAGCGCCATGCCGCTCCCCGGCTCGGCGCGCTACAGTCCCGCGCGGGGGCCGTCACGGCGGCTGGCGGAGATCGGCCGGCAGCGTTACTCGTTCCGTCTGCTAGCCAGCAGGTAGACTCGGCACGTCCAGCTAGCCGCTGCGGCGACATCCACGTAGGACGATTCGCTGACGCGCTGCCGCAGATCTGCTGCCAGGCTGTCAGCCAGCCATTCGTTGCCACGCCTTCCGCCGAGCCATCACCTTCCGAAGCCACATCATCACTCACCCAGCGGTACCGCTCTGCGCCGCGCCTTACACCTCTTTCTCGACTTTCCGCCCCTCATCACCACCCCACACCGCTCACGGCCAGCTCGCCGTATTCTCGTGCTTTTAGCGCCGTTTCCGCCGGCGGGAGCAGCAGCGACAGCGGCGGCAGCGGCAGTGATGGCGGCAGTGGTGGCAGCAGCAGTGGGAGTGGTGGTGGCAAGGGTGAAGCCGCGGGCGGTGCAATTTCGGATCAACTTTCAGACTTTATTTCGGATCTAAATTTGGATCTAGGTTCGGAATTTGGTGCGGAATTAGGCTCGGATTCAGCCTCGGATTCAGGTTCGGAGGACGTGTCGGTGGGGGTGCTGGAGGGGGTGGTGGAGGAGGCGCGGCAGGCGTACGGCGAGAGGCACGAGCTGGTGGCGGGGCTCAGGTTGCGACTGGCGCAGGCGTATATGGATCAAGGGCGGGATGCGGGGGAGGTGCTACCTGTGGTGGAGAAGGCATGGGAGGTGAGTGGGGGAGGTGCTATCTGGTGGGGGGGGCTCAGGCTGCGACTGGCGCAGGCGTATATGGATCAAGGGCGGGATGCGGGGGAGGTGCTATCTGTGGTGAAGAAGGCATGGGAGGTGAGATGTGGGGGAGGTGCTGTCTATCTGCAGGGCATGACATTGACCTGGCATATCCAGTCAAAATACAATCAACATCTGTGGCTTGTCCTTGAATCCTTTATGCTCTTGCACACTGAAACCCCAAAACCCCAAACCACGACCCCACGAAACCTAAAACCCGAATGCTAACCTCAAACCTAATCCTAACCCCAACCACAGACCCAAACCCTTAGACCCTGAACCCTGGCTGTGCATGACCCTCCCTTCACTGGCACCATCACGTGTTTGGCACCGTTGCTATGACTCTCCCTCCCAAACCCTGAAACTCAGACCTTGAACCTTTATTCCACATGGCCCACCCTCCCATGGCACCACACCACCATCAGGTGTTTGACGCCGTGGCCATGGATGGGGATCCCGTGCGAACCATGTGCCTTCAACCCTGAACCTTTGCTGCCCATGACTCTCCCTCCCTCCCTCCCTCCCCCCCTCCCTCCCTCCCTCCCTCCCTCCCTCCCTCCCTCCCTCCCTCCCTCCCTCCCTCCCTCCCTCCCTCCCCCCCTCCCTCCCTCCCTCCCTCCCTCCCTCCCTCCCTCCCTCCCTCCCATGGCACCATCAGGTGTTTGACGCCGTGGCCATGGATGGGGATCCCGTGCGAGCCATGTGCCTTCACCTCACGGCCGCGTGCCATGCCAGGTGATATGGGGTTATGGGGTGTTGGGTGCTTGTGCGATGGCATGGCATGACTGACGGGGTTATGTTGCATGGCATCGTGTGTTTGCACCTCATGGCCTCATGCCATGCCAGGTGATGCTGTGATGGGGTGTGATGGCATGGTGGCATGATGGGATCAGATCACATGTCAGCCATGTGTCTGCACCTCTTGGCCGCATGCAACGCCAGGTGATGGTGTGATGGGGTGTTGGGTTGGGTGCTTGTGCGATGGCATGGCATGAATGACGGGGTTATGTCGCATGACATCATGTGCCTGCATCTTATGGCCGCATGCCATGCCAGGTGATGATGTGTGATGGCATGGGGGCATGATGGGGGTCATACCACATGTCATCCATGTGCCTGCACCTCATGACCGCATGCCATGCCAGGTGATGATGTGATAGCATGGTGTAGTGATGGCATGATGGCATAAAGGAGTGATGGCACGATTGCACGATGGCATGATGGCACGATGAGGTGATTGCATCATGACATGATTGATGGCACGATGGTGTGATGGCATGATGACATGATTGCACGATGGCATGATGGCATGATGGCATGATTGCATGATGAGGTGACATTATTGGCAATGACAATGATATGTGCCTGCACCTCGTGGCCACATGCCATGCCAGGTGATGCTGTAATGGGTGATGGGTGGTTGGGTGATGGGTTGATGGGGCTATATCGCATGACATAGCCATGCCTCTGTCAGATGATGGTGTGATGGGGTGATGGATGGATGGCATGATGGGTTGATCAATGAGGTAAGATGTGACAATGAGGTGAGATGTGACCGCACGCCTTGTAACAATGAGGTGAGATGTGACCGCACGCCTTGTAACAATGAGGTGATATTGTGGGAATCTCTTCTTTCCCTCCATCACTCCCCACCCAACCCCCTTTCCCCTCCCTCATCCTCCAATTGCGCCCACAGGCTCGGCGACCCCGACGAGTGTCTCTCCCTCCTCGTGCAGTGTAAGAGAGGCACCTTGCTCTGCTCTCATGCTGTCCATGTCTCAATCCTCCTCTTCCTCCTTCCTCCTCCCTCCTCCCTCCTTCTCCCTCCTCTTCCCCCCATTGCTCCCACAGGCTCAGCGACCCTGACGAGTGTCTCTCCCTCGTCTTGCAGTGCAAGTGCAGCGCTTTTATCTGCTCTCTTGCTGCTCGTTGTCTCGATCCTCCTCTTCCTCATCCCTCCTCCCTCCCCCTCTCCCCCCTGTTGCTCCAACAGGCTCGGTAACCCAGACGAGTGTCTCTCACTCCTAGTGCAGTGCGAAGCAGCGCTGGAAGCTGCCAAGAAGCTTCAGAGCCTCATGCAAGATCAAGACGTAGCTGGGACTGAGCAGGAAATAGGATCAGATGGGGGGGAGAGCTGCGGGTCAAGGAATGGAGTTGCAGGGGTAGAGAGTGGGGGAGGTGTGGGTAGCAGAGGAGGAGAGGATGGAAGATTAGAGGGTGGTGATGGGGAGGGGGAGGGAGAAGAAGCAGCAGCAGCAGCAGCAGCGATGGCACAAGGGACAGCCGATGCCATCCACATGGTGGGGTTTGCCATGCACATGCTGCGAGCTGACGTCAGCAGTGCGAGGGGGGACATGGACACTGCACTGAAGGCGTACAGGTGGGCAACACGTGTGTCTGTCTGAGGCTGTTTAGGTATGCCACATGTGGTAACAAAGATTAGACGTTATTTCTTTTTATTCTAAAAAAATCCCTGAGAATTCTAAAAAGATCCCTGCAGTGTCTGAGGCTGTTTAGGTATGTGACATGTGGTATCAAAGATTAGACGGAGGCGCCTCAAAGGCAGCACGTGGGGGAGGAGTGTGCGTTTACCCTCTCCCTCCGTCCTCGTGCCTTTCCTTCCCTCTCCAGGACTGCTCTTGAGCTGCAAGGAGAGGCACTGGGTGCAGATGACCCACGAGTGGCTGACCCATTGCAACACGTGGTGGAGGAGTGTGCGTTGACCCTCCTCTGTCTGTCCTCCTGTCACCCCGTCCAGGACTGCTCTCGAGCTACAAGAGGAAGCACTGGGCTCGGAGGACCCACGAGTAGCAGACGCATTGCAGCACGTGGGGGAGGAGTGTGCGCGGCACATGCGGCTAGGCGATGCCCATGCCATGGGGATGCGCGCGCTACAGCTGCATGAGGCGCACAGGAGGGGGTTGGAAGAGAGGCTGGGAGGGGAGGAGGGGAGTGGGGAGGGGAGGGGTGAGGAGGGAGGAGGGGTGAAGGGGGAGGAGCTGAGGGAGAGAGTGAGGGAGGAGTTGGAGGGGAGGGGGAGGGAGGAGGTGAGGAGGGAGTATGAGGAGGCTGTGATGAAGGAAGTGGCAGATCACCGGTGAGTTGGCTTATCAAGGAGGTGTTGGCTTATCAAGGAGGTGTTGGCTTATCAAGGAGGTGTTGGCTTATCAAGGAGGTGTTGGCTTGTCAAGGAGGTGTTGGCTTATCAAGGAGGTGTTGGCTTATCAAGGAGGTGTTGGCTTATCAAGGAGGTGTTGGCTTATCAAGGAGGTGTTGGCTTATCAAGGAGGTGTTGGCTTATCAAGGAGGTGTTGGCTTATCAAGGAGGTGTTGGCTTATCAAGGAGGTGTTGGCTTATCAAGGAGGTGTTGGCTTATCAAGGAGGTGTTGGCTTATCAAGGAGGTGTTGGCTTATCAAGGAGGTGTTGGCTTATCAAGGAGGTGTTGGCTTATCAAGGAGGTGTTGGCTTATCAAGGAGGTGTTGGCTTATCAAGGAGGTGTTGGCTTATCAAGGAGGTGTTGGCTTATCAAGGAGGTGTTGGCTTATCAAGGAGGTGTTGGCTTATCAAGGAGGTGTTGGCTTATCAAGGAGGTGTTGGCTTATCAAGGAGGTGTTGGCTTATCAAGGAGGTGTTGGCTTATCAAGGAGGTGTTGGCTTATCAAGGAGGTGTTGGCTTATCAAGGAGGTGTTGGCTTATCAAGGAGGTGTTGGCGTATCAAGGAGGTGTTGGCTTATCAAGGAGGTGTTGGCTTATCAAGGAGGTGTTGGCTTATCAAGGAGGAGTTGTCGGCTTATCAAGGAACTTCTTGCTTCCCGTTCCTTCCCTTGCTGCCTCTTTCCCCCCCTCAGCCTGTTAGCAGCAGTGCACGCAGGTCAAGGCGACCCCTCCCCCGCCGTCCACCACCTATCCGCAGCAGCCGCCCTTCTCTCCTCCCTCCTCTCCTCGCCCTCCGTCCCCTCCGCCCTCTCCCCTCTCGACCTCGCATCTGTGCACCTCGCCACTGTTGATATCATTCTTCCCCTCTTCTCTTCGTCCCTCCTTCCCTTGCTTCCTCCCCCCTCAGCCTGTTAGCAGCAGTGCACGCAGGTCAAGGCGACCCCTCCCCAGCCGTGCACCACCTATCCGCAGCAGCAGCCCTGCTCTCCTCCCTCCTCTCCTCGCCCTCCCCGCCCTCCGCCCTCTCCCCTCTCGACCTCGCATCTGTGCACCTCGCCACTGTTGACATCATCCTGCACTCCGGGCTGCTGCAGGGAGAAGAGGGGGGAGAGATGGGGGAGGGGGGGGAGGAGGGGGGGCGCGTGAATAGGGAAGAGATGGGGGGTGAGGAGGCAGAGATTGCGGAGGAGAGTGACAGCAGAGAGCAGCAAGGGGAAGGACTGGGTGTAGGATTTGGAGGAGGAGGAGTAAAGGGAAGATATGAGGGAGGAGCAGAGGGAGGGGAGGTGAGAGAGGAGGCGATGGATATGGCAGTGTTGGCGCTGGAAGCGCTGAAGCAGTGTGTGGCAGTGCAGGGGGAGGAGCTGGGGAAGGACCACCCGGCTGTGGCGAGGACGTATGCTCTCGCTGCTGATGTGTACTGGCAGATAGGGCAGGCGGAGGAGGCAGAGGTGAGATGCAGTGCAATGCGGTGCAGTGCGGTGTGGTGAGGTGAGGTGAGGCGAGGAAAACTAGCAAGAAAGATGCCTGCTGTGGCGAGGGCATATACGTACGCTGCTGATGTGTATTGCAGATAGGGCAGGCGGTGGAGGCAGAGGTGAGATGCAGGCTGTTGGAACTTGGGTGGAAAGAGGTGAAATGCGATGTGGTCAGGTGAGGCAGGCGGTTGCGACTTGGGTGCAAAGAGGTGAAATGCGATGTGGTCAGGTGAGGCAGGGGGGTTTGAGTGGGCGGTTGGGTGGGAGACAAAAGCGTCCTCCCACTCAGATTGTTTGCGTTACTCGCTACATCCACTCCACATTACCCGTCTTAACCTCTCTCTATCCCACGACCAGAAAGTGAGCAAGAGAGCGATCAAGGTACTGGTAGCCATGCCAGCAGCGCACCAGCGCAGCGAGGAGGCAGCAGCAGCGCTCTCCCACGTGGCTCTTCACCCCCCTTCACCCCTCTTCACTGCCTTCCACCTCACCCTCCCAACCCACCACACCAGAAAGTGAGCAAGAGAGCAATAAAAGTACTAGCAGCCATGCCAGCAGCGCACCAGCGAAGCGAGGAGGCAGCAGCAGCGCTCTCCCACGTGGCTCTCCATCTCAAACGCACCGACCGCTGCGGCATGGCAGTGCCTTTGTTGCAACGAGCGCTCAGCATCAGAAACGAACACCCCGACCACTTGCTGCAAGCTGTGGGTGAGTTAGAGAGGTGGGAGGGGAGGGGGGGGGGGGGGAGGCGGTGGTCGCGTGTGTGGGGTGATAGAGAGGAGGCTGGGGAGCAGACTGATAGCTCATGTCAAGCGCGCCGACCGCAGCGACATTGCCGTACCTTTATTGCAGCGAGTGCTGAGTGTCCGAAGGGAACAACCCGACCACTTGCTGCTGGCTGAAGGTCAGTGGGAGGGATGGAGAGGGAGAGGGAGAGGGAAGAGGGAGCTTCCTGCGGATGCTTTTGCTCTCCTCATCCTGCTGATTCCCCGCTCTCCCCTCTATGCGTTCCTCTCTCATTACCCTTGTATATTACATGGGTTCTTAATCCCTTCTCTTCCATCTCCACACCCCTCTCCTCTCCCTATTCCCCTTCTCCCCGTTCCCCTTCCCCCATTTCCCTTGTCAGGCTCAGCGACAGACCTCGCCTCTCTCCTCCTCTCCCTGCGCCGCCCCAACGAAGCCCTCCCAATCCTCCTCTCCGCCCTCCCCTCCCTCCGCTCCTTCCTCGGCCCCTCCCACACCGCCTCCCTCCCCCTCCTCTCCCTCCTCTCCGCGGCCCACTCTTCTCTCGACCAATGGAGCGAGGCTGCGGGAGTGGTGGGGGAGATGTGGGAGGTGGTGAGAGGGGAGGGGATGGAGGAGGCTATGGGGGAGGCTATGAGGGGAGATGAGGCGGCGATTGGCATGTGGATACCCCTGGCAGATGCCCTTGGGAGTGAAGAGAGGTGAGTGGGAGTGAGGCGAGGTGAGTGGGAATGTAGAGAGGTGAGACAGCAAGAGGTACGGAAAGGGAGACGAGGTGGCAACTGGCATGTGGATACCACTGGCAGATGCCCTTGGCAGTGAAGAGAGGTGAGAAGGAGTGAGGAGAGGTGGGAAACGGCGTGGAGGAGAGGATGTATAAAAGACGGGGTTATTTTATTGCTTAGGGCACTGAGAATGATACGAGGGGCGATGAGGCAGCGATTGGCATGTGGATACCCCTGGCAGATGCTCTGCGCAGGGAAGAGAGGTGAGAAAGGAGGTGACAAAAAGGAGAGAACAGAGGTGAGAAAGGAGGTGACAAAAAGGAGAGAACAGAGGTGAGAAAGGAGGTGACAAAAAGGAGAGAACAGAGGTGAGAAAGGAGGTGACAAAAAGGAGAGAAAAGAGGTGAGAAAGGAGTTGACAAAAAGGAGAGAAAAGAGGTGAGAAAGCTGGATTGTGTATGTTCAGACATTCCAGCGAGCAGGCACAGAAAAGTACCTGCTGGCAAGCTTGTCGGCTTGGCCTAGGTGGTTACATCTCAAGAAGGAACAGCAACACCAGTTGACTTTGACACGTCTCAGAAGTCATCTCAAGAGCAGAAGCATCTGTTTGGTTATGTTTTGTTGTGGAGCAAGCAGCTAGGTTGTTGTTACTTTCTTCTGTTGCAATCCTTTCACTCGCTCTTGTTACTCTCTTGTCGCTCTCCTAACCAGTCTCGCATCCTTCCTACTCGTTTGTCACTCTCTGCATGCAGGTTCCTTCTGCTGCAACAAGCAGTGGAGCAAGCAGCAAGAGGAGCAGAGGCAGGGGGGGGCAGCAAGCAGAGGGGGGAGGCAGGGGAAGACGCAGCAGCAGCTAGGGCTCGCTGGCTGGAGGTTCTGAGGGAGGTGACAATGATCGGTAGCGGTTAAAGATGTGCTTCGAGGTGCTCTGAGTTGAACCAAGAGTCAGCTCAGTTCGCTGGCTTGACGTGCTAAGGGAGATGACAATGATCAATAGCGGCTGATTATGCAGTTCCAAATTGCATCACCCTATTGTATGTGTAGTATTGATAATGTACAACCAATGTGTTCCGGTGCTGGTAATTGCAAGAGATTTTCGTTCCTTACTGGGTCTACGCCACACCGCGGTCTGGAGTCTGGACGTACAAGCGGGTACAAACCCAGCTTTCGGAATACCAGGCGCAGCCTGAAGTCCTCGCCGTCCGTCTGAGCCAGCCTGCCTCGCATCGATTTTCAGACTTGGACCACCCAGACCTGTGCCCAAATCTAATCTCCTTGATCCCTGCCTCACTTGGGCCCCTCGCCATGTTAGCCCTAGTCCTCATTTATACCGGTATGCCAAGCAGGATGATTTCACTTCTGTTATTGACTTCCCGTGCACTCTTACTTTTACAGTTCATAACAACCATTACTACCGCACTAGACCATCGACGGACGAATCCGTGGGGCATGCCGCAATTTCGAACTGTGCGACATGTGCTGCGAACCTCGCGGCACATTTCGCAGTTCACTGGAAAGACCACCAAGATGGTATTCCGTCTGTAGCTGACGGAAACACTAGCGGTAATTCTGTAACGGTTCATTACGTTTCCGAGTGGTGAATATGGTTCCCACCAGCTTCGGTAATTGCTCACGACATTCTCTAGGAGGAACCAATAATTGTCAAATCTATTCATGGCTTCCACACTAGTTAGCATTCCCTTCTTCCAGCCAGACCTTCGCTGTCCGTAATCACCGGAGGTGGAAACCTTTTCTGACGAATAAGACGCGTCGGCTCTGCCACAACACCTGAACCATGTCCGTCCAGACCCGAACACCCAGAATTATTGGAACGACTGGTCCATGTGTCGCCAGATTTCGTCTGGACGCGGCTTGTACCGTCCGCAAAAGCCGCCATGTCCAGGATGATCCTCCATCCAAGCCGAGCCCATAATTGTAAAAGCTACATCAGGCTACAACACTACACTGGATTTTCCGCACGGTATGCATTGCACGAGTTGCGGAGGTTTCACAGGCGCCAGAATTATTCGAGCGGTCCAGGAAACTACAGGCGCCGCGGCTCGGGCAGATCGTTATCCACGCAGCAGCCGTAGCCATGGAGTCGACTCAAATGGCAGCAGCAGCAGTATTTATGCGCAAGCTTCCGCTAGCTAACCATCTCTCCTTCTCATGCTCCATCGATTTGCACCTAAAAGTTGCCGGCTACAAGTCAGCCAGTCCGCGTTTCAATGACCTGGGTGTATCTTCCAGGCACTCGCATCAGCCTAGAAAAATACAGATTCCGTCATAACTCTCAAGTCTTTAATCTCTGGGGCTTTTTCCTCCCGAGCGCGTACGTGAATAGGCCACAGTTCCGTGATTTTTCGTTGATTTCGCATACTTTCGCTGAGCCGCAATCGAGAGGCGGTTTTCGCCACGCGGCATTGCTCCGACTGGCCCTTGCCGACACTGACGAAGCTTCCCCGGAGTGAATGGAGACTGCCGTAAGTACTAGCATTATCGAACTGCACCGTTTACCACCCATTTCTTTCCCTTTCTCCCACTACCTTATTGCTCTCTTGTTCGATTCATGCAACCACTTAGGAAATACCTCCTTCTCAATCGTTCTTTTTTTTTCCCGTCCGAATTCTGCCCACCCTTGTCCCGTCGCCGTCTTGTGCCCGGCAGGCATCGTGTGCGACACTCGGTGTGCGTCGCACAAGCCACGCCGTCGCTAATCGTCGTCTGCTCGGCCCCATCGCTGCGCGACACGACAGCATGCGAGCGAGCTCCACTGTGCGCGCCTCGTTCCTCCTTTCGCAAGCTTTCTCAGCCGTCGTGGCGCTGCTGGCGGTGGCATTCACAGCCCATAGCGCGGCTGCTTCTATCGTGTACCGCAGTGCGGGCGTGCATGCTTCTAACGGGGTTTCTGTGCGGAACCTGGGACGGTTGCACGCGCAGGACGGGGGGAGAACGGCAGGAGGGCGCGCATTGATCAGCAGCAGCAGTATCAGCATCAGCATCAGCGGAAGCAGCAGCGGTGGCGGTAGCAGCGACGGTATTGGCAGCGGACGGGAAGGCGGGGAGATTCCCGAGTGGGCGCGGAGCGAGGTGTTGCGGTTTGAGGCCGCGCGCGCGCGCGAGCTGGGGCAGGCGGAGGAGGATGAGGCGGAGCGGGTGAAACAGGCGGCGCACGCAGAGATGGCGCGCGCGCTGTGGGAGGAGACGGAGGCGCAGTTCGAAGGACGGCTGCAGGAGTGGCGCAGGCAGAGCGCGCGCCTGCAGGGGGTGGCGCAGCGGAAGCGGGAGAAGCGCGCCAGGCGCCAGTGGGCGCGCGCACAGGGAAAGGCGAAGCTGGAGCACACACAGGCGGCGGGAGTGGCGCGAGTGGCGAGCCCGACAGACGAGGAGCTATTGGATCTCATGCCGGGAGGCACGCGCTCCTGGCAGAACCTTAAAGCCTCCACTGCCCGCTCCTCCTCACCCTCCCCCTCCGCCTTCTCTGCCTCCATTGCCTCCTCCTCCGACTCCTCTCCCTCCTCCTCTTCCAATTCCTCTTCCTCTCCCTCCTCCTCCTCTTCTGGTTCGGATAACAAGAACGATACAGCCACCCCGACTCCATGGGAGGAGAATCGCCCGGCGGGAGAGTCACCATGCAGCCCCAGGAGCACCGGACCGGTGATCAACGTCACCACTCTGGACCACATTCTATCGCGCACGCAGTACCCATCGAACCAGACCGTCACGCTGGTGCTGCAGGCGTCGATCACGCTCAACCACTCGTTGGAACTGTCGAAGTAGAACAGGTGGGCTGCGGAGGCCTTATTTCCATCAACTCTTGCTGTTTACGACAGAGAAACAAACCCCATGCAATGATGGTGGAAGGAACCTGGTGTCGCGCTAGCTTAGATCGTTTCTTAGAGAGCCAGTTTGAATCAACTCTTCACTAATAGAATCAGAACAAGTGTAAACTAGTTTCGGCTCCGAAAAGCCTTCATCAGTACAAGCCTGAAAACTTCTCCTGCACCATCTTCCAGGCAGACACGCTCCCCAGCGAGTATGTCCTGGAAATCACCACCGACACGGAGCCCGTGCTGCAGGTGCGTTGCTTGAAACGTAGTGAGTCTTCTGAAGAGAAAGCTTGACTTCTCCTGCACCATCTTCCAGGCAGGCAGATACGCTCCCCAGCGAGTGCGTTCTCGAGATCACCACCGACACAGAGCCCGTGCTGCAGGTGGGTTCTTTGAGGCGTGTTGAGTCGTGGTGACTTGTCGTGTTCAATCTTCCAGCCGGATACTCTCCCCTGCAAGCATGTTCTGGAGAACTGAGGAGCTCATGTTGGTTTGCCAGTCCCTGCTCTTGAGCCTTGAGATGCACCACAAAGCAGATCAAATCAACACTCACACTGACTCTGTGCCATGCTGCCCTGCAGGTGCACAACGCAAGCAACATGTTGTTCATCGGGATCGGTCTGAGGAGTCCTGTCAGAAACGGATCAGCTTATTGCGAGTCGCTGCCCGAGTATGGGAATCTGTTGGGGAACGACCTGCTGTGCCCGGCTCTGCTCATCTACAGGTGCGTAGTTTGTTTTCGAGTTCGTTCATTTTTGGGGTTTGTCAGACAGACCCGGGCTGCAATCGTTGCTCTTCTGCTACTGGTTTAGTTTCGTGATGGCATTCCAAACAGTGCTTGTTGTGCCTGGTAAATGGCCTTCTTCTTATTCTGCTGCTGCTGCTGCTGCCGCCGCCGCTGCTGCTCCTGCCTTACCGTTCCCTTGTGCGTCCCTCGCCTGCAGGTCGTACGGCATTCAGTTCACGCAGGCGTCAGTGGTGGGGCGGATAGACGTGTTCCGCTGCGCCTACACGAAGCTGGACTCGCTCTTTGCCACGGCGCCGTGGGACTTCCAGTACCACCCGGGGGTCATCCGCATGGGCATGAGCGGCATCGGCGTCAACCTCACCTCCTCAGAGAACATCATCTCCAATAACGACCTCTTTGGCGCGTGGGAGCTCATCTATCTCTATCGGGGGACCATTGGAGCTACTGTGAGCAACAATTTCCTCCACGGCTACCTCTTCTCAGGCTTCAGGTGCGGTCCCTGGTGTAATCAGAGCGGTGCAGCGCGGTGCCTGGCATGAACAGAATGGTGCAGTCGGTGCATTGTTCCAAAACACCCTCAAAATGTCAAATCTGTCTCAAATCAGTGCTCCTCAGTCATCACTTGTGATTGGGGCGGGTATATGTGTGTTTAGCATTCGCAGTCGCTGTGCTGTGGCCATCCATCGGCTCACCTACTCTGCTCCGACTGCCCAAATGCCCCTACACACTCTTTTCCCCTCCCCGACGTGTGCAGGTGTGGAGCGGACGTGCATTTCGCGTGGGACTGTGCGCTGACGACAGTGAAGCACAACTTTGTGTTCTCCCCGCAGAAGAAGAACCTCACAGGCGACTCTGCGGGCATCTACTTCTGCACGCACTGGTTTAGCCCCGGTGAGCCCTCAACCCTGGTAAACCCTCAACTCAGCTCAACGCTTGTGAGCCATCAGCCCCTCTTGCAACCTCACAGGCGACTCTGCTGGCATCTACTTCTGCACGCACTGGTTCAACCCTGGTGAGCCTTCAGCCCTTCTTGATTCTTGATATTGCTTGATCTCCAGTGAGCTTCAGCTTCAACCCCGGTGAGCCCTCGACCCGTAAAAGCCTGAGCCACTCGTGAGACAGATTCAACTTCAGTCAGCTGATGTGACTGCCTTTGCCTTCCCTGTGCCTGCCTGCCTCATTCCTATCTCCCAACCGCATTCCACCGCACTCCACCCCACCCCATCCAGGCAACACGGTGAGCTGCAACTACGTGATAGGGGGCGACCACTGCTACTACCTGGACTACTGCACGTCAGGCGTGGACATCCAGGGGGGCGTGTGCCTGCAGCTGTGGGACGGCGTGAAGCTGAACAACGGCAAGAGGAACCACATCCGCAGCCTGCTCATGGTGGGGCTGGGCCAGAGCCCCGGCTACATCACGTGCTTGACTGTGATGCTGAATCACTGCGGGAAGGACCCTGGGTCCTATTGGGAGGCCATGCGGAAGTTGTACTACGATACACCTGAGATTAATAAGGTGAGGGTTAATTACCCTGAAATGGCAGACTCCGTCCTTGTCTCACTACTCCACTGCAAAAACGTCTCCAGACCCTCTTTTTCCATACCTCTCCACCCCTCTCCATTCCTCTCCACCCCTCCCCACCCCACCCATCTCCATTCCTCTTCACTCCTTTCCAAATTTCTCCACATCTCTCCACCCCTCTTCTCTCTCCACCCCTCTCCACTCCTCTGCACCCCTCTCCAAACCCCCATTCCTCATTCCTCCTACCAGGAATGGCCATGGATGAAGCATGTGTGTCGGCAGACGCGCATCGGCGCATACAGCTGCAACCCGCACGGCGAGCTCTCAGCACACGAAACCGGCGCGTGCAGTGGGCTCGCGACAGAAAACGACGTCGAATACATTGTGGTCGATTCGGACACGCCGTGCGACGCGGAATATCGCTACTGCGAGCGCAGCCAGGGAACAAAAAATCTTAACCGCCAGGTTGTCTACAGGTACAGTGGCGACGAAATGAAGTTCACCGATTATAAAAACAGTGATTTTGGAGTTTCGGAGGGGTCGGTGGTGCTCGCGAATCACCCGGATTTTGTTTCCTGCCCGAGAGAAGATATCGGGATAAAGGCGGTTTCGATACACTCGTATTACAAGGATTGGAATATTCCGGAGCCCCTGTTTTTCCAGGCTATGCTGGACCTGCCTTACAAAATGGTGTTTAATAATGAACTGTATTAAGGTAGGTTAAGATATTCAGGCCTCTAGTGTGTGTAGCGGGTTAAATCATGGCACATTGATAGCTTATGCTTGTTCTGTCTTGCACAATAAAGTGCCATAAAATCTTCGTTTTCCAAGGTCCCTGTTATCAATACCTTTACTTCATAGTGAGTGATTTCACTTTTGCAGCTTGCACTAATCAGAGCGTATTCCTACACCTTGTATCAAGTGAACCTCGAATCAAGCGGACCCTAAACGCCTGGTAAAACTAGCGAGAGAATTTGGATTTATTGGAATTTTCAGTGGGAGCCTGATACTAGGTTGCTTGATTAGAGGCGAAGGAATACGCTTTTTACACTCAAAAGACACACTATGACATCGAATTCACACTACTCTGCATTCCATATGCAATTAATCAGCAACCTGCAGAGCCCCTCGTCGTATGCAGTGATGATGACAGCAGCATTACCCAGCAATGCTGCATCATCCACCATTTGAGCATCTCACACACTAGGATACCACTCCTCTTCTCCTAGTTCCATGGCTCTGATTCTCCTACCACTGCTGCTGGTGATGATGCTGCAGATGATGTTAAGAGCATCTCACACCTACCAGTCCTCTTCCCCAAAGTCCATGGCTCTGATTCTCCTGCCCCCTCTTGACCTTCCCCCACCAGCCATTGCTGACGACAACGCTGAACCATCCTCCACGCCCCCCAGCCCGGGTGGCAGCGGCGGGGGAGAGGACGGGCGGTGGTGCTGCAACGCGCCGATGCGGGGAGAGAACAGACCCGAAGGACTCAAATCATCTGCACCACCACCAGCAACAAAAGCAGCACCACCACCACCACCAGCGGCAACGGCAGCAACGGCAGCGGCAGCGGAGGAAGGGCTAAGGTCAGAGTCAGCCGCGAGGGCAGTGAGGGGTTGTCGTTCCGAGGCGGTGGTGGGGCCGTGGGAGTGGATGGTGGCAAACTCCTGCCAGTGCAGATGCTGCTCCGTCTGCCTCCACTTGTGCATGGCATAGAGCGTCCACACCGCCATGGGGAGGACAGCAATGGTGATGATGACAGCTAAGATCAGGAGATCTGCGGGAGAAAGGGGCCGGGGTTTGCAGAGAGGGAAAGGGATGGTTGATCAGAGTCAAGAGCAACAGCGTGAAGAGCAGTGGACGCAGTGAGAGGTTGTGTTTCGGAGGCTGTGGTGGGCCCGTGGGAGTGGATGGTGGCAAACTCCTGCCAGTGCAGATGCTGCTCCGTCTGCCTCCACTTGTGCATGGCATAGAGCGTCCACACCGCTATGGGAAGGACAGCGTTGTGACAATGACAGCAAGGAGTAGGAGGTCTGAGGGGGAGGGGGGGTGAGGAGAAGCCAAGCGATGGATGGATAAGTCAAGCTCCTGACCATGGCTGTCAGTCCAGGCTGGGCCGGGCTATGGGGATGGAAGGGCTGGTGTTCAATGGAACACCATGTAGGTGCCATCGTTCAATACGTGGCAGCAATTGTTGGTAAAGAACACCTTGGTGGTAGTTTCTTCGAGTGCTTGTTTGAAAACTCTAGTGTAAAAAAATCGTTGGTAATCATATGAGCCTTCTTCAGACCACAAAGAGCCCTAAATGAGAACGAGCATTACTTATAGCCTTGAAAATCTTAACCAGGAACTAAGCTTACGCGGGAACGTCCTCGCTGAGGAATTGGGGACGATGGAAAGGAGAAATAAGAGGAAACCGTAAAAAATATTGTACCCAAACACTTGTTTGCGAAAATTAGATAATTTCCAACTCTCTTTAGTAGCCTCCATGCGATAATAGCTCTTCTTGCAGAAAAAGTGCCATGTGCCATTGTAACAAGGTGAATTTTGAGTCAATAAAAAATTCACCTCCCTAAAATACCTTGTTTCTCCTTCAGTGTGCCCATGATGAACACCGAAACGATTTTCAAAGCTGTTCTTCTTAAGGTCATAATGGTGCCATTCATCCCGCTCTCAACCAGAAAGCTGGCAACCTTGGTAAGACGGTGCTTACATTCTTCATGACGTTTCTCGGCGTGCCGGCGGAAACGCTGACAAGACGTGAGGACGCAAGGAAGCTGGTGGAGGAGATGTTGTGCCTCTTCACCTCAGCGCGCAGCAAGGCCAGCGATACCAAAGTGCTGTCGGAGGTAGCCACCCCGCTCCTAATCCGCTCCCCGTGTAATGCTCGCTCAGTCGTTTGCGATGTTGTTCTGAGCGCTTGATTTACTCATAGGTGCTCATCGCGCTGCCCACCAACTTCGATCTGTCGAAGGACTTCGTCCAGATCGAAGTTGGCGATGAGCACCTATGAGTAATTTAAGTGCTGAAAACTACACCTCAAACGACGGAGCGAGCATAACACAGGGAGCGGAACGGGAGCGGGGTTGCTACGTCTGACAACACTTTGGAAACGTTGACCTTGCTGCGCGCCGAGGTGAAGAGGCACAACTAAGTTGGAGTATACGCTCATAGCCTCAAGCGTATCGCGTTTATACGCTTGCGTTTAAACGCTATACGCTATACACTAGGGAATACGCAATACGCAGTCAGAATTTTTTAAGGGCTGCCCGGGAAAAAAATCGCGGAATCTCTTGGTGAGCATTTCGCGGAAGCCGAAATGCTAATCGGTGGTCTAGGCCAGCGGAAATGTGACTTCGAAGTTTGGACGCGTGTCATGGGAATCCAAATGTTGAATCTCATATTAGTACTGCACTGGAACACATACGATCTACGAACTCCAACTTCAACCTGTCCAAAACCACCCCCCCAACAAACCCCACGGTGCTTACCAGCCAGTCAGCCCTAATCTCGACATTTCTACATTTCATTTCACCTCGATCTCGCCGACCTCATTCTTATCGACGAGTATGACTAGACTTCGGGCACCAACTTCGTGCTTTGCACCTCGACCATCCCCCGCTCTAGACCTAACAAACTGCCCGGGGAATTTTTTTTAGGTGCCCGGGCCTGCGTATTCACTGCGTATAGGAAGCCTCCCAAGAAGCGTTCGGCGTTTATACGCTAGCGGATAAACGCTAGTGTATGAAACGCGAAACGCGTATATTCCAACTAAGAGGCACAATCTCTCCTCCACCAGCTTCCTTGCGTCTTCGTGTCCTGACGACGTTTTCGCGTCCAGCACGCCAAGGAACGCCATGAAGAATGTGAGCACCGGCTTACCGTAGCTGGCGACTTTTTGGCTGAGAGCGGGTTAAGTGGCTGCACCAGTGACTTAAAAAGAACAGCCCAAAATTTGTCTCGATGTTCACGGGCATACGGGAAGAGAAGCAATGCATTTTTAGGGAGGCCACTTTTGTGTCGACTCAAAAGGAGCACAGCAATGGTGACAATGACGGCAAGGAGTAGGAGGTCTGGGAGGGTGGGGGAGGAAGGGTGGGCCAAGGGATGGATGGATAAGGCAAGTTCCTGGCCATGGCTATCAGTCCAAGCCTGGCCATGGGGATGGAAGGGCTGGTGTTGCAGTGCTCCCCGTGGCTGTCAGTCCAAGCCACCAATCACCCATCCCCCCCCTCCACCCGTCCTTCCGTCCACCCCTTTAATCCTTGATGCAACCATCCCTCCCCCACTCACCTGCTAGGCCTCGTTTTCTTGGTGCCGCCACCAACGCACCCAGCACTCCCGATGCTGCTGCCAGGCAGTCCCGAGACCCTGAGGCGAGTATTTCAGGTGGGATGGGGAGGGGAGGGGGACGAGGGGGAGTTTGAGTGAGTTGAGGGCAGAGGGGTGGAGTAGGGCGGCCAACACCAACACACCCACCCAGCACTCTTGATGCTGCTCTGCTGCCAGGCAGTCCCGAGACCCTGGATGGAGTTGGGAGGGTGGGAGGGGGGAGAGGCGGTTACTGAGTGAGTTAAGAGGGGTGGAGTAGGGCGGCAAACACCAACACACCCACCACTCCCGATGCTACTGTCAGGCAGTCCCGAGACCCTTGGGAGTGTTTTGTGCCGTGGCACAGCCTGAGCGAGTTTAAGGTTGGAGCAAGAAAGCACGGCAATCAACACGCTCAGCACACCTGATGGAGCTGATGACAGTCCCGAGAACCTGGGTGGGCGGGAAAGGGCGTGATTGTGTGAGTGAGGGATGCAGTAGGTAGGGTGGCAAACGCAAACACGGGACGGGAGACGGGTGAGTGGGAGTGAGTGTCTTGCTGGAGGGAGAAGGGGTGAGGTTGACAGGAGTAAGAGGGCAATGTGATGCGCCTTGGACGGTTGACACACGAGGGCGGGCGGCCACAGATGAATGAATTTTGAGGCGCCTCAAAAGTCGTGGGAGTGAGCGTGTTGCTGGAGGAAGAAGGGGTGAAGTTAACAGGAGTAAGAGGGCAATGTGATGCGCCTTCCAAGGTTGACACACAAGGGCGGCCACTGATGAAGGTAAGGACGTCTGTCACACCCTAACCCCTGAAGGATGGTTCAGAAACGCATAAGACTGCTCGCGAAGGGATTGAGGACACACTTTTTTATGGGGCTTTAGGGTTTAGAGCTTATGGGGATTCTAAAAGAAATACTTACGAATGTACTTAAGGGCGGTGGCGGGGAAGTCAGAGAAGAGCCCATCCACTCCCACCGCCTCCACAAACATGGCATACTCGTTCAGTGGGTCCTGAGGGGAGAGGAGAGGAGAGGAGAGGAGAGAAGGGATGACATGGGGGGGAGAAGTGGGCTGAAGGGAGGAATGGGACAGTCCATCCACTCCCACCGCCTCCACAAACATGGCATACTCGTTCAGCGGGTCCTGAGAATAGGGGTGGAAAAGAGAGATGGGATCAGTGGATGGATGGAGGGACGAGGGGTGGCGGATGTAAGGGGTATAGAGGGACGAGGGGTGGCGGATGTAAGGGGTATAGAGGGACGAGGGGTGGCGGATGTAAGGGGTATAGAGGGACGAGGGGTGGCGGATGTAAGGGGTATAGAGGGACGAGGGGTGGCGGATGTAAGGGGTATAGAGGTGGCCATCCAGCCTCACTGCCTCAACAAACATGGCGTGGTCGTTCAGAGGGTCCTGAAAGGAGAGACAGGGATGGAGGGGCGGGGTGAAAGGACGGAAAAGAAATGGGAGGGATGGGAGCTCCCACCGCCTGCACTGACATAGAATACACGCTCAGAGGGACCTGGTGTGCGAGTTGAAGAGGAACGATGGGAGTGGATAGGAGGAGGCATGAAGGGAGGAAGGATGACAAAAGGGATAGGATAGGAGAGCCCATCCACTGCAATGGGGCAGTGCAGAACACTCACGAGCTCATGGGATATAGGGGGAGAGAAGGAGCACTCACCAACTCATAGCTAAGGGAGAGGAAGATTCAGTCGTTGGAAAAAGGCCAGGGTAACATGGCGAGCTGGCGGGCTGGGTCGTGAGCGAGGGAGACGAAATCCGATGGTTGAGAAGCTTCTTGTGCCACGACTCCACCGGCAGCACCAGATGTGGTGAACTTCTAGCGGACACTCACCAATTCATAGCTCAGCGATAAGAAAATCCAGTCGTTGGAAAAAGGCCAGGGTAACACGGCGAGCTGGCGGGCTGGGTGGTGCGCGAGGGAGACGAGATCCGTCTGGTTGAGCAGCTTCTTGTGCCACGACTCCACCGGCAGCACCAGGTGCTTCTCTGGTGCGACGGCCACGGCGTAGAGTGATATGGCGTCCAGGATGCAGGCTCGGAGAGGGGTGGTGGGGGGACAGGAGGGAGGAGGGGCCTGCAGGATGGGGTTGGTGTCGGATGGCTGGGGGATAACAGGGGGGCGGGAGGGACGGGGGAAGAGGTACGCAAGGAGATGAGGGTGGTTTTTGAGTCGACTCAAAATCGCCCCAAAGAGGTATGCCGTGAGATTAGGGTGGTTTTTGAAAGGGTTGAGTAGCTGCTGTGCCATGAATCCGCAGCACAGCAGGCTTGACTTGAAAGTGCACAAGGTGGCATCGCTCCTCACCCCGTCCCACCCCTCCTCACCTCGTCCCACCCCTCCTCACCCCATCCCATCCCTCCTCAGCTCGTCTCAACCTTCCTCACCTCGTCCCACCCCGCCTCCAGGATCTGCACGAGGGGAATGGAGGTGCGTTGGCTGCAGTAGACCAGAGCAGAGCCGCTCCTCGCCTCTATCACCACCGGGTGCACTGCCGGGTCCAGCACAATCCGCCCTCTGGCTTTAGCAGCGCCGGGTGCTGCAGCACCGGTTGTAGCAGCATGGTCAGTAGAAATGGTGGTGGTGCTGATGCTAGCAAGGCGGTCACTAAGAGAGGCAGTGGGGGAGGAGGAGGAAGTGAGGGTGTTGAAGGGGTTGGAAGGGCGGGGCGGTGGCTGCAGGTTGTTCATGCTGAGAAGAGTGAGGAGTGACTCTAGTAGTGGGCACCCGATGGACTTGTGGAATTCGGGATACTGTGAATGAATGATGAGAGGAAAAGGGCAAGGAAGAGAGGATGACAGAGAGGAAAGCTTTGAGTGATTGTGAAACGTTGCTGTGAGCGGCAGGTTGTTCACACGCTGAGGAGAGTCAGGAGCGACTCGAGTAGCGGGCACCCGATGGACTCGTGGAATTCAGGGTACTGGGAGTGGGTGGGTTGCACGGGGGAGGATGGAGAGGGGGACGAGAGAGAGAGAGAGGGGGTATTTGAGTCAGAATGATGGGTTGCGGGTTGGTGGCACTGAGGAGGTTGGGGAGCAACTCGAGTAAGGGGCACCCGATGGACTTGTGAAATTCAGGGTACTGGGGGTGTGCAGCAGGGAAATGGATGGAGAGGGAGGATAGAGTAAAGAATGAATATTGAGTGTTTATTCTCAAGTCAGATTAAAGAGGGACGCAACAGCACTCTTCTTTCAATTCCTCCCTTCAAGCCTCCCCTCACTCCTCCCTGGGCGGACGGGTTGTGGCCACTCAAAGCACAACCTTTCTTCACTCGCGCACTCCTTTCCTGAACACTCCTCATCAACTCTTCTGTTCACTCTTCCCTTCACTCCTTTTACCTCCACTCTCAAGCACCCACTCTGGGTTCCAGCATCAGCCCCACGGGTCGGTTGCCTCTAGCAGCAAGCATTTCAGGGCGCTCATTGGCGGAAAGCACGACAGCCAGCACAGCAGAGAGCATGGAGAGGGGATGGACAGACGGATTGTTGTGACAGCAACGCAGAGCACACCGTTTCTTCACTCGCTCACTCCTCCCTGCATTCCTTCTTCAACTACTCACCCCTCCCATCATTCCCTCTCCCTCCACTCCCCACCACTCACTCTGGGTTCCAGCATCAGCCCCACGGGTCGGTTGCCTCTAGCAGCGAGCAGCTCGGAGTTTTGATTGGAGGAGAGCACGAGGGCGAGCACAGCAGAGAGCGTGGGGATGGATAACCGGCCGTGAAGGGTCTTATCCCGCCACTGGTATCGCTGCTCCACTGCTCTGCAGGGAAGGGAGGAGAGGGAGGAGGGAGAGATATGTGTGCAGGCATTTGTACTGGCTGATGTACTGGCGTTAATTGGCGGAGAGCATGAGGGCGAGCACAGCTGGAGAGCGTGGGGATGGATAAACGGGCGTGAAGGGTCTTGTCCCCCCACTGGTATCGCTGCTCCACTGCTCTGCAGGGAAGAGAGGAGAAGGAGGACGGAGAGAGCGGCAAGAGGGGGGAGAGAAAAAGAGGCGTGTGTACAGGCACGTGTATTGGTTGATGTGCCAAAGGTTCTTGTCCCGCCACTGGTATCGCTGCTCCACAACTCTGCAGGGAAGGGAGGGGGGAGGGAGGAGGGGAGAATAATGTGTATTGCAAGTTCATGCAGGCATGTGTATTGGTGGGTGTCTTGTGAATGTCCAAACCCACCATTATGTACCCAAAACACTGCGATGCGGCAATAACACCAGTTTGAACCAAACCATTACGTGCCAAACCAACCCACCTCTGAGAATCTGGATCTGCTCGAACGTGAAGTTGAATGCGAAGAATCCCTCCACCTCCTGCCCCTCTATGACCGCCGTTGACTTGAGTTGACTCAGCTCGGGGTGGTGCGCCACGTTCGTCACGAGCGTCAAATCCAAGTCGTTCCAGCAGATCAGCTCTAGGTCCGCCGTGCTGGCCAGTGGGAGGAGTGTGGGGTGGGGGTATGGGGGAAACCAGGAGGCAGAGAGTGAAGGGCGGGCAGGAGTGTGGTTTACGGTGTACCCAAGAGTGGTGCGTCACGAGCGTCAGGTGCAGGTTGTTCCAGCACATGAGCTCCAAGCTTGCTGTGCTGGTTACCAAGGGAGGGGAAGAAGGGGTTAGACGCATGGGCGCAGGGTGATTGGGTTGGGTTGGGAGTGGTGGGCCACTTATGACATCACGAGCATCAGGTCCAGGTTGTTCCAGCAGATCAGCTCCAAGTCTGCCGTGCTGGCCAATGGGAGTAGGGCAACGAGGGGTTGGTGTGGGAGCACAGGGGAAATCCGGAGGCAGAGAGTGGTGACAGGGAGTGGCGCGGCACGTTCGTCACGAGCATCAGGTCCAGGTCGTTCCAGCAGATTAGCTTCAAGTCGTCCGTGCTGGTTGTTGAAGAGGAGGGCGGGAAAGGAGCAGTGGAGGGAGGGAAGGAGGTGAGCAAGAAAAAGGGTGTTTGCAGGAGGAGGTGTGCGGCTATGCTCTCCACTCCACCAACAGGTCTAGAAAAGTTTACCAGATGACCCTGCATACAGCCTTGCTTACAACCTTGCATACAACCTTGCTTACAACCTTGCATACAACCCTGCATACAACCTTGCTTACAACCTTGCATACAACCTTGCTTACAACCTTGCATACAACCCTGCATACAACCTTGCTTACAACCTTGCATACAACCTTGCTTACAACCTTGCATACAACCTTGCTTACAACCTTGCATACAACCTTGCATACAACCTTGCTTACAACCTTGCATACAACCCTGCATACAACCTTGCTTACAACCTTGCATACAACCTTGCTTACAACCTTGCATACAACCTTGCTTACAACCTTGCATAACTTACAACCTTGCATACAACCTTGCTTACAACCTTGCATACAACCTTGCATACAACCTTGCTTACAACCTTGCATACAACCTTGCATACAACCTTGCATACAACCTTGCATACAACCTTGCATACAACCTTGCATACAACCTTGCATACAACCTTGCATACAACCTTGCATGGACCACTAGATATCTGCAGGTGAAGACAGACATACCCCACTGTATTCACATCACATCCCCCTCACCAGATAACGTTGCATTCCATATAGTCCGCTCCATCGGCTATGGCCGTCTCGTATCCCTCCAACGTGCTCTCAGGCATGGACCATAACAATTTTACAGATGAAGACATGTTCCAGAACAGTCACATCACACCTCCAACTCACCATATGACATTGCATTCCACATAGTCTGCTCCATCGGCTATGGCCCTCTCATAGCCCTCCAACGTGCTCTCGGGCATGGGTCCCATTGCGCCCCTCCTCCCAATCACGATGGGGCGAATGGAGGCTGCAAGCGGGGTAAAAGAGGGGAGGAGGGGGGAACGGAGAAATGTCAAGTGTTCTCAGGCAGGCATGGGACCCATGGCGCCCCTCCTGCTGATCACAATGGTGCAAGGGAGGGAGGGGGAGGGGTGGGTGGGGAGGAACGGGGGGCGGGGCGGGGGGTCTCAGGAAGAGTGGGATGAGCGGAGCAAGAAGAGAGCGAAGAGTTTGTCCCGTCGTCCATCGTGATCAGAGGTATGGGAACCATGGTGCCCCGTCTGGGGGTCACCATGGGGCGACTGGACGCTGCAAGGAGAGAAGGGGTGAAACGGGGGTGTTGGGGGTAAGGGAGGAGGTGTTGAGGGTAAGGGGGGGAGGGAGGAGTGGGAGGTGGTGGGGGTGGGGGGAAGAGAGGATTGCGAGGGGACACAAGTAAGGAGGAGATGGAGGGAGAGGTTTCATACAGCTTCGTGCCACTTGCATGCACACAGGCACTCGATACGTGACACGGATTTGCACGAATGCAACCACGGTCACAACTTTGCCCAAATGGACAGCAGGCACGGACTGAGCAGCAATAGCATGCGGTTCCAGATGGAGTCCGAGCAGCACTAAGGTGCGGTCTAAAAAGCACTGCGGACAAGAGATCGTATCTGACAGTCTTACTCCGCCATGCGACAGTGTGGGCAATCGCTCAACGCGAGCAACTGTTAGGACGTCTCACAACGCGTACCTGACACTCTAACTCCGCCATGCGACAGTGCGAGCAGCAGCAGAGGCAGAAGTGACAGTCGCACGGCCGAAGAGCGGCCCATTGCGAACGACTGCTGTGATGTACGACGCTAATCTAACGAAAAAATGTGCGATCTACAGGCATGGTAACCGAAACCGAATTGCTAGCCTATTTCGTCTCGCCAAACAACATCGTCCTTTAAGTAACACTATATCATACTGCCTCGAGGCACCTCTTGCTTGCTAAGGTGATATTTATTTTCCAGACTAACAATGAGCTAAGGCTAACACGCAGCACTGTAAGAAACTAAGCTGAACGGGACTAAGGGTGAATGGACCGGTTATGAACGGAATTATACGGGCTACGACATAGTCGGCTGAATCATGTCAGGGCTCGGTCGTTATCATCTCAGTTGCTGCTGTAAGGACTAGTACTGGCGTTTCCATCCCACCAATACGCCAGCAAGCCTAGAAATAGGAGCCAGACGGTCGCCTCAGGGAGTGGCAGCGTGGCAGGGAAGAGGCTCTGTGCTTCGACAAAACGCAGCACATTGGTAGGTGCAGGCCCGTGGCACAAAAACCTTTCGTCAGGCACGTTGTCAGAGACTCACGAAATGTTACCCGTTGTCGTCGATCCATAGGAAAGGCGTTCCAGTCTGTTGTTGAGATGAGTGGAGTTGGACGGATCTGGCGGAGTGGAAGCGCGTCACACCCGATGACAAACGAAAGCAGCCAATCATGAAGCACCTTGGGGCTGCCAATTTTTCGAGGGTTCAATCTTGACGAACGTCGCCAAGGGAATTTTAGGTTTCGACGGCCATGGTTACTGGCTTGAATTTCAGAATGCGCAACGAGAACGGCGGAGGAAGCAGACGCACACATGGCGGGGAAGGCGGAGGCGGGACCAGCGGAGGCGGAACAAGCGGATCGGAAAGTGCGGGAGGACCAAGTGGGCGGGAAGAAGACTCTGGAAGGGGTGGGGGGAGGGGAGAGGATAATGGCGGCGATGGGGGCAACAGCAGGTCCGGGGGAACAGGGGGCGGAAGCGGCTCCGGCGGGCGTGGTTCAAGCGGATGGGGAGGGCGGAGGCGAAGACGGAGGGGGGCAAATTCGGTGCACCATCGGCGCGCTTCTCCCGCTCGTCGACCATTTCCAGGCACGCGTCAGCCGCGCGTGGCAGATCCGCGGCCCCCCCGTTGCCTCCGCGCTTCTGCAGTCCGCCGCGCGCCTTCCGCCTTTGCTCCGCACATCCGCGACATCTGGCGCACTGCTGGCGGGCGGGGACGTGTGCGCGCAGTGCATCGAGCTCTCCTCAGCTGGAGATGCAGCGCGGATCCGCGACGCGCGTGGAGAAGCAGCGCAGCCAAGCAACACGGAGCAGGCAAGCGACACGCGCGGCGACGAAGCGAGTAGCCTCAGCTACAGCAGCAGCGCCATATCAAGAGACGGCTCTGGCAACGCGGCAGCAGGACCGGCACCAGCGTTCAACGCAGCGAGATCCCTGCGAATGATGGTGTACGGCGCGTGCATATACGGGCCTGCGCTGCACGTGTGGTACCCCCTGGTGGAGAGGGCAGCGCCAGGGAAAAGCCTGGGTGCGACTGCGGGGAAGGTGCTGGCATCTCAGGCTCTGCTGAACCCGTGCCTGATTGCTGCTGTGTTTGCGTTTAACTATGCGTGGACAGGCCAGCTGCATGCACTCAAAGGTGTGTAATGTGTTACTTTTGAGAATTCTCAAAAGCACCATCAACATGACATCTCATGCGAATCCGTGCCTGATTGCTGCTGTGTTTGCCTTTAACTATGCATGGATAAGCCAGCTGCATGCACTGAAAGGTGTGTTCCGTGTTATCAGGCTCCTCCAATATTGTTGCTGCTGTGTTTGTGTTCCAACACACATGCACTGGCCAGCTTCATGCACGCGAATTTCTGAATCTTCACTTTGCAACAAGACATGCTGCCGTTTTGTTGTCCCTCCCGTCTTCCCACTCCCCCCTCCCGTTACTCCTACACTTACTTTCATAACCGCTTTCTCGTCCCGCATAACGTATCCATGCCCAATCCCCCTCTCATGTCGCTTCTCGCCCATGCTCTTTGCCCTGTCTCCCGAACCTGAATCTCAAACTGTCCTTTCTCCTGCAGACAAGTACCGGCGGGACTTCCTGCGGACGTGGCGGCGCGGGTGGCACTTCTGGCTGCCGGCCAGCTTTGCATCGTTCCGCCTGGTGCCGCTGCACCTGCGCCCCGCCTACTCCTCCGCCTGCTCGCTGCTGTGGAACTGCCACCTCTCCATGGTCACCATGCACCAGGTGCGTGCAGGGGAAAGGAAGGTATCTGGGGGGGATGTGCGATATGAAAGTGCTCTTGTTCCTTTGTACCATGGTTTGGACCTGCTCGCTGCTGAGGTCACCATGCAACAGCTGCGTGCAGGGGAAAGGTTGAACGACTTTGTGACTGGTTTTTTTTTTTTTAGTCATAATGTATGTGCTCTTGTTCCTTTGCACCATGGTCTGAAACTGCTCGCCGCTCTGGAACTGGCACCTCTCCATGGTTACCACCATGCACCAGGTGCGTGCAGGGGAAAGGTTGAACATCTTTGTATCATGATTATATTTGCTCTTGTTCCTTTGTACCATGGTCTGGAACTGCCCACTGCTCTGGAACTGCTACCTCTCCATGGTCACCACCATGCACCAGGTGCGCCTCTCCCTCTCGTATTCAGAGTCGAGTTAAACTTAACCATGCACCACCAGGTGCGCCTCTCCCTGTTGGATTCTTAATCAACTTGAACTTACCAAGCACCAGGTGCATACGTTAGGGAGAGGAGCACCTGGTGCTTGGTTGGTGCATGGTTAAGTTAAGTCGACTAAGAATCCGAGTCGTCTTAAACTTATAATCATGCACCCAGATGCGTCTCTCCCTGTTGTATTCTGAGTCGACCTAAAATCCACCATGCACCAAGTGCACGCAGGCCAAGGGATTACCATTGAGGGATATGTGTGAGATCAAGTTTCCTCTCCAGAGTCGCACATGCGTTGGGCAAAAGCAGGAGAGATGAGAATGATTGAAGTTGATGTCTCAAGGAGGGATTACAATAGAATGATGTAAGACTTCATGACTAGTGTTCTCTGTAATCGTAAGTATGTGTTCCTGTTCTTTTGCACCCATCCCATCCCTCGCCCTTTGCAAGGTTGATCGCCACCATAGAAGGGATGGCGCCGCCGTCATCGCGGTAGACACCAACAAGTGATGCACCCACTCTGTATTGACAAAATTATTTCATGTTGTCCAGTATCTGGAATGTTCTGCCTATAACAATATCAAAGAAGCTTGATTCGTTCATTGTGATAGACGATTAGGTCGAGTTTATGGAGTACACGAATTGCTGAGATTTGTGCTTTCTTGTAGCGCGTGAAGCGCGAGGACCTGGCCATAGAAACTCCCGAACTTTCCCTCGCACCTGACACGCTCCATACAATCACAAGCGCAGAAAGAGCCGTTGCTGGCTGGTCCCATGGGTCCAGGAGGTCGAATCACGAATCAGGATCTGTGCTTGTCTCGGGAATTCCGTCATGATCACATTGGTCATCCCTCCCACCCACCTCTAGGTCGCCAATTTCCGCTTATTTCAGTGTTTCACACCGAAGATAGCTGAAGGTTATAATATCTAGGAGGTCGTTTTACCCAACTTCGTCGTTCGACTCCGCCTTTTCATCATAAGAATTTGTCAGGGCCAGTCCTCCACTTTGTGGCTTTCTCGTTGCCACGATTTGTTAACCGGCGAGCCGCGGGTCCAGTAAAGTGGGTCGTCGTAGATTCGTACCTGAAGCTTAATGAGAAGGTCTTAAAACTCTTTTTGTAGGAGCGAGAGCCGGGAGTCTGACAAACTGTCGGGAACGCTTATGACCACGACAATCGTAGCCCAAACAGACCTCTAGAAGAATATACAGGCTGCCTGGCATAGAATAATCCGTCTGACTGTTGAGATCGATTGACATCTGATGGGTGTGATTATATCGAAGTTGCTGAGCTCACTGTTCGGCGAGAGAGAAGCACGAATTCTCGTTCTGGGCCTCGACAATGCCGGCAAAACCACCATCCTATGTACGTCAGCTCAACGTTGGTAGCCATTTCAACGCTGACCTGGAAAGCAGTTTACTAAGTATCAGTCGGAGGGTTGAGATCAAGTGATCCTTGCAATGAGGTGATCCATTTGCTTTCGGCAAATGCTCCGATCGATCACTACTGCGGTTTTGTTACATGAATTAGTCGAATGGCATATTAACAGGAGGAGTTTATTCCCATGACATACCAACAGAAATGGCTTTCTTGGCATCCGATAAGGCATAGTAGCGCATCCCAGATGCCGTACGACCTCGTGGAGTGCAGTCGGTGCCTTAAAAGATTTTTTTTTACGCGACTTAGTCAATTCGCCATCCCTGTCAACTGGAAAATCGGAATGCGACGTGGCCGAAAAGTTGTTTTAAGTCACCCTTGGGTCATCATGGATCGCGTCTGCCGCGGTTAAGTCACCACCCCTTAAGTTGCGCAGGCCGGCAAAAGCAGCCGCATGGGTAAAGCGGTGTCAACTTGGGGTTCGCGACGAGCTGCGACTGCTTCGCGGATGTCGTTTCTGTCCTAATCTCGTTTGGCGTGTGTGCTTCATTGATTTCAAGTGCTTTACCCTCAGCATTGTCCTGTTGCTTTTGACCCCTCCTCTCTGCTGCAGATCGGTTGCAGGTCGGCGAGGTGGTCTCGACAATTCCAAGTAAGATACTCAATTGACTTTTCTTCTGGGGTTGCCAATTACTGTTTGAATATGTCAATTAACCGAGTTAGAATAACGAAGCTTGAATAAGGTGTCAGGATTCGAGGATTCGGGCGTGGATTATAAGGTTCGAACTGGACTCAAGCTATAACCTTTTGTGTGTGTTCCAATCAATAATTAGTTTATTACAGTGTGCGGTGGTGGTGCAAACTGGAGCTTCCCGAAGTTCTATGGATCACACCTTGAAGTTTAATTTTGTTTTTGTTTTTGTTTTTTGGAACAGCTATCGGATTCAATGTGGAGACGGTTCAATACAAGAACATAAAGTTTCAAGTTTGGGATCTAGGTAAGATTCAAATCATCTCGTCCATTTGTCCCTGGTTCCCTTTCCTTCCGTTTCACCTCCCCCACCTCTCACCCCATTCCCCACTCCACCTCTCACCCACCCCGCACCCCACCTCTCACCCCACCCCCCAACCCACTTCCCACCTCCGTACTGACACATTCTTTCTTTTGTCACTCTTCACTGGTTCTCGTCTTTCCCAATGTGCTCTCCTCACATCTATCAGAGCGTTAGCCATTACCAATACCCAACACCACCGCCTTTGCCAATATCAATTCTCAACCACCTTTGCCACGCCGCTAGTTCTCTCTCTCATCGACCCAGTTCTCAATCTCCAATGCTCCTCCACCTCAGGTCCCTTCCCTTTTTGAACGTCAGCTGACCCTTTTCTCCTCGTTTTTGTCTTATCTGAACTCCATGATTGTCTGATGTGGTGCTTTTCTTCTGTGTAGGTGGACAAACAAGTATCAGGTGCGTGTGTGCCTCACTGTTGACCGCTTTCTTGTTTCTTGGGCGTTCTTGCTCGGTTGTTGAGCATTTTCTCGACTCTTGAGTGCGTGCTTCATTCTGGAGTAATTTCGTGGCTCTGCCACCACTCAAGTCTCGACTTTGGCTCTCTCTAGACCTCCTTTTTTTCATGGCACGACTGCTGCTTTCGGTTTATCGCTCCCAATCCCGTCTGATTTGTGGGCATTTCTTTCTTGGATTGTACCTGCAGCCTTTAATTGCTTCGCACCCCACCCTTGCCTTGCCCCACCCTTCCCCTGCCCCTTTCCTTTCCCTTTCCGCATCCTCACCTTCCTTCTCTCCGCCCCACTTCCCTCTTCGTCCCCTTCCTTTCACCCCTGCCCCCGGCCCTACTGGTGGTGTTACTTCAGCAGCACTCATCCCGTCACCTTCCTCTTCTCCTCCCTCCCCTCTTTACTGTGCCCTCACCATCCCTTTTGCTCTTGTGTGCCTAACCAACCATTCTGGTGGTGTTTTTACCGGAACACTCATCCTGAATCTCATCAGGTTCCTCTTCTTTGTATTTCTGATTGTTCCCCATCCATCCCTGTCCTCTCATGTGCACCCAACAGACCGTACTGGCGGTGTTACTACCCCAACACACAGGCCGTCATATACGTGGTTGACTCGACAGACGTGGACAGAATCGGCACGTCCAAGGAGGAATTCCATGCCATTCTCGATGTGAGTGTTCTACCCGGGGTTTGCTTAAAAAAAAAGAAGATGAGGAAGCTTTTACAATTTCCAAATTGCCTCGAATTCCTCTAAGGAGGAAGTCCACGCCAAAATGGATGTGGGTGATGTATCGATGATGGTGGCGCGTGGAAGTCAAGGCGTCGTAATTCGTTTGGAACGCTCCTCTGTGTGGACTGAACCTCTTGGTATCGTTATGAGCAGTATTTGTGTCAGAGGTTCTGGGATCAGGCTGTCTCCCTGTAGGCAACATTTCTCCGTGCTTTTTATTATTTTTGCCATCAACTGCTTTTGAGAAGAAGAAGCCTTGCAAGTTCCTCAAACCATTTTGTTGATTCCATTGATGTCACCGTTCTCTCCATGTCTCCTGAGTGTTCTCACAAGCTATACTTGTCGTGTGTGTACCTGCCCCTTCTGATGATGCCTGCAGGAGGAGGAGTTGAAAGAAGCAGTGGTGCTGGTGTATGCCAACAAACAGGTGAGATCTGGGGTCTTGGCTCGTTTCAATATTCGTTTCATCCACTTGCTTGAGTTGCAAGTGTCGTTTAAACACCTTCATCCTTCCACCCATATGTGCCTCCCAGGATCTGCCCAAGTCTCGAGTCAGTGCAGGTCTCAGACGCCTTAGCAGTTTCAGTAGACTTAAGAAGCCACCCGCCTTCTCTTTTTCCAATCCCTCTCGCTCACCCATCTCCACCCATGTTTACCCACCTCCACTGTTCTGTATCGCTCAGGATCTGCCCGGAGCCATGAGTGAGGTGCAGGTGTCAGACGCGTTGGGGTTGCATAAGATCAAGAGCCGCCCGTGGGCCATCTACAAGACTTCAGCTGTTAAAGGCGATGGGCTGTTCGAAGGGCTGGACTGGTGAGAGCAGGGGTGGCGCATGGGTCGTGGTGCATGGCTCATGCTGCATGGGTTGTCGCAATCGCCTTGGGGGCTGCATAAGGTCAAGGGAGCTGCCCGCGCATCTACAAGACGTCTGCTGTCAAGGGCGATGGGCTCTTTGAAGGGCTGGACTGGTGAGAGCAGGGGTGGCGCATGGGTCGTGGTGCGTAGGTCATGTTGGATGGGTTGTCGCAATCGCCTTGGGGGGATGCATTAGGTAAAGAACCGCCCGTGGGCCATCTACAAGACGTCTGCTGTCAAAGGCGATGGGCTCTTTGAAGGGCTGGACTGGTGGGATTGACTGCTGGGGTGGTTGGTGCATGGGTCGTGGTGCACCAGTCATGCTGGGCTGCACAAGGTTGCATCAGTCATGCTGGGCTGCATCAGTCATGCTGGGCTGCATCAGTCAGCTGGGCTGCATGGGTTGTCGCAATCGCCTTGGTGGGCTGCACAAGGTAAAGAGCTACCCGTGGGCCATCTACAAGACTTCAGCTGTTAAGGGCGATGGGCTCTTTGAAGGGCTGGACTGTTGGGATTGACTGCTGCATGGGTCCATGGTGCATGGGTCATGCTCCATGGGTCATTTTGCATGGGTCGTGCTGCATGGGTCATTTTGCATGGATCGTGTTGCATGCATCATTCTGCATGGGTCATGTTGAGTGAGTTGTAACAATCGCCTTGGGGACTGGTGGGATTGACTTTCTCCTATAGTCGATCTCTGTCTGCTCTGCATGGGCCCATCATCCACCGTTGCATCGTGCATCCTTGCATGGTGCATCTTTGCATGGTGCATCCTTGCATGGTGCATCTTTGCATGGTGCATCCTTGCACGGTCGGTGGTGCATGTTATCTCTTATGGCAACATGACATGTATGTTTGCGCTTCATGAGCCCATCATCCACCATTGTGTGCTGCCACCTCTGACCCTCGCGGTGTGCAGGCTGAGTGAAACACTCAAGTCTAAGGGCCGATAAATTGACTGAAACTCACCATCGCAACACTTTCAGCGCTGAAGGAAGAATGGGAACCTGGAGTTTTTTCAGGAGTAAGGAGAAATCTTTGCTAACTCATGTATCTTGATGTGATAGTATGCTGCGCTTCAGAGAACCTTTCTAACTGTCTGCATATGATGTAGTTGTGCGCCAGCCTCTATGGAGAAGGTGCTGCTGGACTTGTTTGATTGAGAAGGCTATTATATGCCCCCCCAGAACCAATCCCTTGATGGAGCACTGGAGGGCAAAGTGCCACCGAAGATGTAGAGGATTATCCATCAGATGAATAAGATTTTACAATTTGCATTAGAATCTTGCTGGTGGATTCCAACGGGGCAGGAAGATATAAGTAAATAGATGAACTGGGCTGGGATTTCAGGAACTGCACAATCAAATGATAACCACGAGTGTACATTGGCTTGTGACGAGGATTCACTTTTTGGGAGGCTCGTGGTCTGAATGCTGATTGGCCAGATTTCTATGTCAGCGCAGCGCCCACGGAAACCCACGACACGTGGTAGAGAGCATACAGTTTGACTGTGCACACGTCAAGTCAAGGGGCTGACATGGCGAGTGGTGATTACATTTTAGCCATGAGTTACAAATCCAGCATGAGGATTTCCTTTGACCAGCTCAGCACAATCTCCCCGAAGACTGGGAGACCCAGTCACACGTCGTTCTGACGACGAACTTTTCTGAGCCTCTGCACTACTGTACACTACTTTCACATATCTATTGTACAATCTTCAAAACAGTCGCTTGTTTTGCGGTATTGCCAGTCTGCCAGGTGAGAGAGCACACCTCACCTCTCACCTGGCAGGTGAGGTGAGCCTACCTGCCGTCATCACCATACATCCCTGACAAGCAGCGAAAGAAGAATCCTCACTTGTTCTCTAGGTGCTCTCTTGCAAGAAGTCTCTCTCGTCGCAGTCATGACCTTTCTATCTTGTACTATACAGCTTCTTGTGGAATCTCGCTCCTTCCCTCATTGATTCTGACTGACTGAAGTAATAAGTTATGATGGCGGCACGCGCCATTACCGGTCGCCTCTGTCTCTTGCGGCTGGTCGTTGCCGTCTTCGTGACGGTTTCCGTCAATGCGTCATCCGACGGATTTACGGAGGAGACCACCGTGAATGGTGACGAATGTAGGCCGCCACGCTCCAGCGCTCCTCCTGTTCAGTCGATACCACCTCGACTTCTTCTATACAATTTCCGTCAATGCACCCACCGTGAACGGTGACGAAAGCCCGCGACGCTGCAGCGATCCCTCACAGTATCCTCTTACTCTCTTCCTTTCCCTCTTTCCCTTTCCCAACCGTGATGATTACTCCCGACAGCGATCAACGGCCAGCAACCACCTCCGAGGTCCCATCTGGTCGGCAGAGTCGGCGAGTTCGAAGGCGAGCTCAACTATTACCTGCCACTGCGACTTAGGTCAGTTGGAAAGTTTACCTGCCACTGCTTAAATCAGTAGGCGAATCTTCCTGCCACTACGAATGTAGGTCAGTTGGTGAATCTTATTACCTTCCACTGCGATTCCGGTCAGCTGGCGAATCTTATTATGTGCGATTCAGGTCAGTTGGACAATTTTCGTAAGTTAAATGACCTGTCTTTGCGATTTTGGTCAGTTGGAGAATCCTTACCCAAGCCTTCCAGGTCAGTACGGAATGCCGGAGGAACAAGGGAGACAGTAGGTGAATTCTACCAAAGCCCTTTCTCCACGTGAAGCGAGGTTGTTTCTGAGACGTCTCAAAAACAACCTCGCTTCACGTCAGTACGGAACCTCGGAGGAACAAGGGAGACCGTAGGTGAATCCTCTCAAAGCCCTTTCTCCCTCTCGCCCTCCACGCCAGGACCCGCCCCGAGCGAGTGAGCCTCGTGACGCGGCCGCTGGGCTTCCCTCCCTCCACGGTTCGCCCCAACGGCTTCTCTCTCTCTCCCCCTTTCTCTCTCCATCCATCCTTCGCCAGGGCCCACCCGGAGCGAGTCAACCTTGTGACGCGGCCGCTGGGCTTTCCTCTCTCCACGGCTCGCCTGGCCAACGTCTTCCTCCACTTCTTCCACCACCTCCCCTCGGACAACTCGCACACCAGTTCCAGCAGCAGCAATCAAATAGCAGGAAGCGTGTCAAGCGCGTTCGTTGACAGTGCTTCAGAAGAGAGTGGGAGTGCTCAGAGGAGAGTGGCTCAGGCGAGTCAGAATGGGGGGTGAAGCTCGACTGTCACGGCCCTCCCTGCCCCGCCTTCGGCTCATGCACCGCCCGCTTCCCCAACGTGCAGGCCTGCTGGAACCCCGAGCTTGTCGATCCGCCCATGAGCGAACCCATCCCCCCTATAAACTGCCCCCTTAAAGCGGACAGCGCCGGGCGTGGCGACGGGTCTCGGTCGCAGGCGAGATTCGACGAGGCGTGCTCGCACGAGCAGGACGTGGGGATTCACGGCGCGCATGCGCTGCAGATGATGCGGCTGGAGGATGTGTATTTGACTGATAATGGGTTTGCTCTCAATCGCACGCACCTGTTCGTCAGGAGCGGGTGCCCGCACTTCCCAGGATCGGTGAGAGGGAGGTTATGTGGAGGGTTGCGTAACGGGGGGGAGAGGGATTTGCGGGGGAGAGAGTGCGTTTTTTAAGGGGCTCAAGAATGGGTTTGGACTCAACTCAACCTCACGCACCTGTTCGTCCGGAACGAGTGCCCGCACTTCCCAGGAGCGGTGAGAGATTGGTGTGTGGAGGGAGGGTTGGGCAGAAGGGAGGGTTGGGTAGAAGAGAGGGTTGGGTAAAAGGGAGGGTTGGGTAAAAGGGAGGGTGGGTAGAGACCTTGCTTGCTCATGCGGTCATGTGTTCATGTGCTTATGCGGTCATGTGTTCATGTGCTTATGCGGTCATGTGTTCATGTGCTCATGCGGTCATGTGTTCATGTGCTCATGCGGTCATGTGTTCGTGTGCTCATGTGCGGTCATGTGTTCATGTGCTCATGCGGTCATGTGTTCATGTGCTCATGCGGTCATGTGTTCGTGTGCTCATGTGCGGTCATGTGTTCATGTGCTCATGCGGTCATGTGTTCATGTGCTCATGCGGTCATGTGTTCATGTGCTCATGCGGTCATGTGTTCATGTGCTCATGCGGTCATGCGTTCGTGTGCTCAAGCGCTTTCAAGCACATGGCGCGCGGCCGACTAATAGCAGTGTTCAATCCGGCCGGGGGTTTCGTGGGGATCACGCCTTGAATTTGATTCTTCCATGCGTGTTAAACCACTCTCCCTTCCACCACTAGGCCACGCACGATGAGAGGAACATGGTGCAGGAGCAGGAGCAGGAGCAGGAGCAGGAGCTGCCATTTCTGTGGGCCCCACAGCCATCGTGCCGTGCGCTGCACTCCCTTCCCTTCCTTCTCACCAGGTCACGTACGACAAGGGCCACATGGTGCATGAGCTCCCTACAGCAGTCTCCAACTGGGCGCACTAGCCGGCCAAAAATTGTACCATTTTCTCATCGAGATGTTCCCACTCTTCCTTGATGCCATATATGCATTCACTCGCAACAGGTCACATACGATGCGGGCCACATGGTGCACGAGCTGCCAGCAGCGGTGTTCAACTGGGCGCACCAACCCAGCAACAACTTCTACCACTTCCTCATTGAAATCTTCCCGCTCTTCCTCGTCGCTGCGCCCCTCATGCCCTCCCCGCTGCGACAGCTGCCTGTGCTTGTCAGGGGCGGCCAGGTGGGTTCTAGGTAGCTGCCATCTCATCCCCAGTTCATTTCCATATCCTTCCCCTCATTCCCATACCCCTCAAGCGCGCATGTTCCGCTGCCTTTCCCCTGAGGCTCTCTCTGAATTTAACCACCATCGGCCATCTCACTCCCACCATCGGCCATCTCACCCCCACCATCGGCCATCTCACCCCCACCATCGGCCATCTCATTCCCACCTCATGCCTGTCTCGTTCCCATCTCATGCCATTATATGTCAATGTCTCTCCCCACAGGCGCGTTGTACAAGAAGTTGGGTACGCCGCTCACGAGCACATATCGAGTAGATGAAAGAATCATTCTTATCTTATGCCCATGACATGTCCATGCCTCTCCCCACAGGTGCGTATGCACGAGCAGCCGGGCGCGCCACTCATAGGCATCTATTGAGGGTCATCCTGCGAGTGAGTGCGCCACCCTTAGGCACTAAAATATCATTCCTGTGTCATCCCATGCCTCTCCCCACAGGTGCAAATGTACGAGCAACTGGGTGCGCCACTCATAGGCATTCCACTGGATCAGATGCGCCTGCTCCCCACATCTGGGAACGACCTATTTCATGCGAACGTGGTGTACCAGGTAAGACTAATTTTTAGGCGCCTCTTTTTTTTTTTTTTTTTTTTTTTTTTTTTCATGGAAACGACCTATTTCATGCGAATGTGCTGTACCAGGTAAAACATGCATGTGTGTGGTGCGGATATACCCCCTTGAATGAATACATAAATAAAGGGATATATAATTAAATAACTAAATAAATGAATGATAGCTAAATAAACAAACAATTAATTCAATATACCAACCTTGAAGAAGAAAGAAATATATTCAACGTGATAGCTTCCATCCTTCTCCCTAGGCCCATCCAGGTCAGGTCATGCACCAGGGCTGCAATCATTCCATGTCCCCTTCCATTCCCCACCCTCTTCCCTCCCTCCCCCAGCCCATCTTTCAGAACTGCCACCATCCCAGCCAGTCGCTCTGGCGGTTGATGCGGCGCCGCCATCTGCTGCACCCCTCCGGCATCCCTCTCTTCAACCCCGACTGGACTCTCCGCAACCACCGCTCTCTCTCCCCCGATGAGGCTCGCTCCCTCCCCTCCGACTGGGTGGTCGTGCTGGCGAAGCGGCCGAAAGGGAAGAAACGGGCGATTCTGAATGTTGAGGAGGTGGAGGCGGAGGTGGTGAGGTGGTTTGGGCGCGAGAGAGTGGTGGTGTATGATGGGTCGCTGCCAATTCTACAAGGTGAGAGGTGTGCGAGCAAGGGTATGCAATGGTGTACTTATACATATATATGTACATATGTATACATATAGATATGGGTGTGCACTTATCGTGTGTACATGTATACGTTCACACTTATACATATGTATGCACGTGTTAGTGTTTACATATGAAGGAAAATGCTCTAGGCACGTCAAGGACAGTTCTCCAAGCCATGCGTGATGTGTGTGAATGGGTGTCACGTGTCGGCTGCTTCATTTCCAGTGTTGCTTTTGAGTTTTTTTTCCAAAGTTTCTGCACCCAGATTTGAACTCACATTGCCTCTCAGCATGTTGGCTTCACAGGTTACTTCTTGAAAATTCTAAAGAAGAAACCCTGCAACATGTTGGCTCCTATAAAAAAACCCACCTCTCCTCTCCAATTCCATTGTCCCATATCCCTCCCACACTCCCCCTCCCCTCCCCTTAGCCCATGCACTCCTCTTGAGAGCACGCCTCTACATAGCAAGCCATGGAGCCACACTCACCAACATGACCTTCGTCCATACTTCCCCCTCCCTCCCCCCCTTTCCCTTTCTTCTACCCCACTCTTCAGCCCGTGCACTCCTCATGCGAGCACGCCTCTACATAGCACTCCACGGACCTGCACTCACCATGATTTTAAGAATAACTTCTCCCACCTATCCTCTCCAATTCTTTTCCGTCATTCCTTCAACCCCCCTCTTCCCCCACCCGTACAGCCCGTGCGCTCCTCATGCGAGCACGACTGTACATAGCAGGTCACGGAGCCGCACTCACCAACCTGATCTTCATGCCGGAAAAGGCTTCCCTGCTGGAGATTCGCCCCCAGGGATGCCCTGTGCCTGTCTATAATGGCCTCGCCTCTGCCTGCTTGCTGCGGTACCATCTCGTGTTCAGCCAGGGGAATTGTTCGTCCACTGTGGTGGCTGATGTGTCGAGTGTGGCTCGGGTGCTTGATGCAATAAAGGCTAGGTTTCAGATAGAGGATGGTGAAGGTGAAGGTGAAGGTGCAAATAACGAAGTCTGATAGTGGAATATATGGATTTATTGGAAGCAAGGTTATCAACCGGATGCAAAATGCCTCTTCGGAAGTACGTTGGATTGCATGGCGTTAATACGTAGTACAACACAGCAATGAGTTGGAAACATATTAAATAAGATGGAATGGAATAAAGCATTCAAGTTCACATCATTGTAAATGAGCAAGTGAACTCTTGTGACCCACCTGTAGGATAGATCCTGTTTCCTGTAATGTCCCATCCAATGAGCTACCCATAAGCATGCCCCGTCCTGTCTCTTAGTATAAAGGCTATTCCCTTGCCCCCGAACAAAAAGGAAAAGAAAACCACATGGTATATCAGCCTTAGCTAATTGGGTCCCTACCCTCCTCACCTCCACCGTCCTCCATTTGAAACTTGGCCTGTATTGCATCAAGCACCCGAGCCACACTCGTCACATTGGCCACCGCAGCGGTTGAACCATGTCCCTGACTGAACACAAGATGGTACCGCAGCGAGCAGGCAGCGGCGAGGCCATTGTAGACCCGTGTTGGACAATCCCTAGGTCGGATTTCGAGCAGTGAGGCGTGTTCCGGCATGAAAATCATGTTGGTGAGTGCAGCTCCGTGCGATGCTATATAGAGGCGTGCTCGCCGGAAGAGTGCACAGGCTAAAAATGGGTGGTGGAAAGGAAAGAGGAGAGACAACATAAATGAAGATCGTGTTGGTGAACCCGGCTTCGGGTGATGCTATGTAGAGGCGTGCTCGCATGAAAAGTGCATGGGCTGAGGGGGGTTCTGCAAGGGATAGAGGAGCGAATGGAAGTGGAACGTAGGGATGGGAGGAGTTGTGAATGAAGATCATGTTGGTGAGTGTGGCTCCGTGCGATGCTGTGTAGAGGCGTGCTTGCCGGAAGAGTGCACAGGCTGAGGGGGGGGGTTGTAAGGGATAGAACAGAGAATGGAAGTGGAGCGTAGAAGCGGGAGGAGCTGTGGATGAAGATGATGTTGGTGAGAGCGGCTCCGTGTGATGCTATGGAGAGGTGTGCTTGCAAAAAGAGAGCACGGGCTGGAAGGGGAAGAGGACGGAATGGAAACGGAACGGAGGGGTAGGGGAAAAAAAATAAGGTTTTATATGTAGGAGTCTGTCTTTAAGACATGTCAAATGCATGACCTACTATGTAGAATCACTTCCTCAAAAAGGTTTTTTTTTGTTATTTATTTATTTATACATTTAAATAAATGTGTAACAACACTGAATGTTATGGCACATCCTTGGCCTGCTATGTAGGATCAGGCCACAAAGGCATGCCGCCAAGCCAACTGCCAACCCTCTCTGCACAAAGAAATCTGATATTGGGAGAGTGCTGAGACGCATGACAGCATGGGGCATGACAGTGATTGCGGCTTGGCATGGGAAGTTTCAGGCGTAGTGTAGATGGGCATGCAAGGATGCAAAATGCGAATGTCAATACTTTAGGCGCCTCAAAAGTAGTGTGGTGTGGACGGGGCACAGACAATTCAGGGTATGGAAAGCAACATGTTTTGAATGGCGACATGGGATTAATTCGCGAATGCGAAGCTTTTGAGAGTTCTAAAAAGCATCCGAGGTGACTTTGAGCCGACTCAAAAAGTCACTTCAAAGGCAACCCAGGAAAAGGAGCTGGGGACTCGCAGCAACCAGCGACACACATGACTGCAATGCTTCTGCATCGTGAGAAGTGGTTGAAGACTGGTTTAGTCATTTTATTTGAGGCTCAGTATGTTAACCCCTATAACGTTATGCGGAAGCGATTAGAGCTTGAACTACAAACTTTGCTTGGCAACACTTAACATCACTTGCAACCCTTCGAGTGTGACAGCTTGTCACCTCCTAGCCAAGGGCGTAGAAAATAGCAAGTGAGTAGTTATGCCTTGCTCAGCTTGTAGGACGATCAAACGGGTCGAGAAGAATTTCGGCAGCACCAAGGTAATATTTCTACTCTCGTCAATACGAAGTAGTAGAATGCGAGCTTGAAAAAGCGCGAATGCATTAGATTGATTTCGACAGGTACAAGCACACATTTATATATTCTAGGCACAGGCAGGAGCAACTAGAAAACAGTTGTTTAACTTGCTCGCAGGATTTCGCCACGCTGTATCTTGAAAACAGTTGCACAACTCCTTGAGCATTTGGCTATATCCTCCTGTTGTTAAAAACTGTCTTCAAATTGCACTTGTAACAATCGCCCCTGCTGACTCAAATGTGTACATTTATGAGACTCGCATGTTGCTCCAATGTAGCTCAAATGTCTTCATACGAGCTCACAGTTGTATAACAGTTTTTACCGTTTGAAAAACGGAGTAACCGATTTGCACCTGTGTCGAAATGATTCCGCAAAGTGAAATGACTTTCGCGAGAAATTTCCCGTCCCGTGAGTCAACTCGGAAAACAGTTTTTCAACTGTAAATTCCGAGCACCCCTCGTGCCACACGCACGACCGAGATTTTTTTTTCTCGGTCGTGCTGTACAGCGCGCCATGATCGTAATCATGCGCGTGTACAGTGCGGGACAGGGCCGAAATGGGCCCTGTCTTGTTGCGATCGTGCTGTACAGCACGCTCGCAACAGTACACGGCACACGCGCGTGCCCTGTGGTCCCACACGCGCGTGCCTTGACCCACGATCGGGTCTTGACTTTCGCGCTTTTGACCAGCGCGAGAAAAGTCAAGGCACCTCTTGACCAGTCAAAGAACCGAGCACCCCTCGGTACACCACCCGCTCACATGAGGCTTCAATAAGTCTCGCATGAAAATTCGAGACTCATGGGACTTTCATGGTCGCTCGCATGAGCCTCGCATAAAACATTTAAGTCCCATGCGAGCTTCGTTTGAGCTCCATAAGGTCTTCATTTGAGCCTCATTTGAGAGCTTCGCATGAGTCTCATTTGAGCGCTTCGTATGAGTCTCATTTGAGCGCTTCGCGTGAGTCTCATTTGAGCGCATCATGAGGGCCTCATTTGAGCGCTTCATGGGAGCTTCATGAGAACAGTGAAAACGAAACTGAAAATGCAAAAACACAAAATGCACTTATGAATAAAAACGAAACACACAAAACGCAAGAACAAATGCGCACATAACGTTCACAAAATGAAAATGAAAAATGCGCACACACACAAATATGCAAAATGCGACGCAGGCGGCTGGTTGACGTGCAAAAATAAATATTTGCACCCAACACAGTAACGATTTGAGACGCACCTACGCGTGCGCAAGGGCACATACACACACATGTTTGTATATACACAAACTTTTGCACGCCCGCACACTCCTCACCTTGCAGAAACGGCAGCGACCCATTAAACACCACCACCCTTTCACGTCCAAACCGCCTCACCACCTCCTCCTCCACCTCCCAGAAATTCAGCATGGCCCGATTCCTCCCTTTCACCCGCTTGGCCAGCACGACCACCCAGTCGGAGGGGAAGGAGCGAGCCTCGGCGGGGGAGAGACGGCGGTGGCTGTCGTAGGTCCAATCGGGGTTCAAGAGAGGGATGCCGGAGGGGTGCAGCAGATGGCGGCGCCGCAGTAACTGCCAGAGCGACCGGCTGGGATACTGGCAGTTCTGAAAGATGGGCTGAGGGATGAAAATGGGTGGCCGGCCAAAAAAGAAAAGAAAGGAATAAAAAAATATGAAATTATACAAATAATCTCACACAATATGATCAAATCTATCTATGTGATGTTTCATGTCCCCTAAATCTAACTGCATGGCATACATACAGATACAACGGAATCGGAATGGATACATGACACACAAATCGATAAGGATTCCTCTGTGAATTAAGAAAACAGGAAATGAGGATGACTAAGGGAAAGTTGGGTACAAATACAAACCCTAGAAAACTGTACCCCATATGTGCTACCCCACTATAGCCTACAGTAGCTCTGTCATATAAATCTGACACACCCCCATAGGCAAAGTGGGGGAGAACAAGGGGTCACAAGACCAGTCAAGCAAAGCAAAGCAAGCTCAGGGTGGATCACAAAGTCACCACACATTCCGAGCACAAGTTCAAGGCCACAAGGCCAGTTCCCATGCAGGATTACATATATATATAAGGATACACAAGCAAGAGCACGTGTATATATATATGCAACAGTACAAACAAGGTCAAGGGGTGAGCAAGTGAGGCAAGGTAGGCACAAGGCCCAGCTGAGTACAGAAACGCTGATGATCACAAGGTGCAAGTGCCTTGGTGAAGATATCAGCAGTGTTGGCCTGAGAGGCCACGTACGCAAGTCGCAGCTGACCACGCTGCTGTAGCTCACGAGCAAGGAAGTAGCGGAGAGCAATGTGCTTCGTTCTGTGCTCCAGTCTCTGCTCTCGACACAAGGCCAGCATGGCCTTGTTGTCTACGTACAGCACTGGAGGAGAACGAGGCGGCTCTCCGAGGTCAGTCAGCAGGTAGG